ACTTGCTACAAAGAGGAGGCAATAATCTGACCGTAAATAGAGTAAATGTATAGAAACAAGAGTGGTGACTTAGGAGGGTTGACGAAACTAGACACGTGACGCCGCCACGTGCTCGATGTAAACATTGGCCGTGGGAGTCAGCTGACGTGTCTGCTGTCTTGTCAACACTGTCACCTGTAAACAGTGTAGTATACCCATGGTTATAGTATACCCATGGTTATAGTATACCCATAGTTATAGTATACCCGTGGTTATAGTGTACCCATAGTTATAGTGTACCCATAGTTATAGTGTACCCATAGTTATAGTGTATCCATAGTTATAGTGTACCCATAGTTATAGTGTACCCATAGTTATAGTGTACCCGTGGTTATAGTGTACCCGTGGTTATAGTGTACCCGTGGTTATAGTGTACCCATAGTTATAGTGTACCCATAGTTATAGTATACCCATAGTTATAGTATACCCATAGTTATAGTGTACCCATAGTTATAGTGTACCCATAGTTATAGTGTACCCATAGTTATAGTGTACCCGTGGTTATAGTGTACCCATAGTTATAGTATACCCATAGTTATAGTATACCCATAGTTATAGTATACCCATAGTTATAGTGTACCCATAGTTATAGTATACCCATAGTTATAGTATACCCATAGTTATAGTATACCCATAGTTATAGTATACCCGTGGTTATAGTATACCCATAGTTATAGTGTACCCGTGGTTATAGTGTACCCATAGTTATAGTATACCCATAGTTATAGTATACCCATAGTTATAGTATACCCATAGTTATAGTGTACCCATAGTTATAGTATACCCGTGGTTATAGTGTACCCGTGGTCATAGTATACCCATGGCTATAGTGTACCCATGGTTATAGTATACCCGTGGTTATAGTGATAATCAGTTACTATACCACTAGACAAAACCATAAACTGAGACACCGTATATTTATGGAAACAATCAGGATGCGTGAACAAAAGGGCACGAATAAACAAGGACTGTATACGAACATACAAGTTAATTGCACGACAGGTAATGCAAGTGCAACAACAGATAACTGCAACAACAAATAAGTGTAGCAACAGATAAGAACAGTAACCGTTAAGTGCAGTAAGATAGTTGTACCTGAAGAGGGTGCTGGAGATCGGTCGTCTCCTGCTGTTGGTGAAGATCATCAGCACGCTTGTCCCAGAACCCGCGCTTGAGGGCTTGCAGGTTGTCGCTGGCCTGCAGGGCGAAGCCTTGGTGCAGGCCAGGCCCCGTGTAACCTGCCGACCTGCTCCCCATGGCCACCACCAGCACCACCACCAACACCACACCAACCTCACTGTCCTGTGTTATACAACAAAATCCTTGTTAGCATTTTACCTACACTTTGTACCAGTGCCTCGTCCTGCAGTAACCCCCCCCCCCGTCCTGCGGTCACTACGCCCTCTCCTGCAGTGCCTTCCTGTCCTGCAGTGCGTTTCCCTTTCCTGCAATGCTTTACCCCTGTCTTGCAGTGTCCACCCGTCAAGAATTGGGTCACACACCCGTATGTGACCCGTCCAGAAGTGCGTCACACCTGTCCACAACCGTCCAGACGTGCGTCACACCTGTCCATAACCGTCCAGAAGTGCGTCACACCCGTCCACCGCCCCTTTTACGACATATGTTTACCTCTCCAAATCGGCCCATCATCTTAATTAATCCTTCAACAATAATAACACAACTAATAGTCATAGTTATATTAATATTATTATCACTATTAAAATAACTATCAGTAGAGGAGCGGAGAAGGCGGGAGGAGAGAGCTAGAGCCCGGTATCTGGGACCAAGCAGCGCTAGTGTTGCAGGACAAGATAAGACATCAGTCTCAGAGACGTCGGGGACGTGTGTATGAATGAGCTTCTAAAACAATAACATTTTCCCAGGACGAACTTGCAGGCGGAGGAGAGAGCCGCTAAGGGAGAATGATGAGGAGATAGGGAGGGAGAAGGAAAACGAGGAGGAAGCGAGTGTGTGAATGGGAAGGAGTGGATCAAAGGGTAGGATAGGTAGAGTGCATTATAAGGTAAGGGTATGATGGATAGAGTAGGGAAATTGGCAAAGGGAGAAATGCCACATGATGGTTAGAGTGGTCAGGGGGACCTCTGGGACCTAGCAAGTGGGTTGTGTATGTCTGGGACGTAAAAGGAAAAACAACAAAACAGTTGTTTAAAGTAACAGTTTAAGACAATAAAATAATAATCAATAACTATAGGATTAGATCATGTTAGGGGGATAGAGGGAGGTATCCCTGATCTATCCCAGTATACCCAGTTGTTGGAGTATGCACAGACTCACAATTAACGTGGCTGAAGATGTGTGCTCTTCGTTATGTCGGGGAAGGTGTTAGTGTACACACACCTGGTAGCCTGTAACCTTCCTGGTGTTAGTGTACACACACCTGGTAGCCTGTGAACCTTCCTGGTGTTAATATAGACACATAACTTGTAGCCTCATCTTCAGAAAAACATAGCTGCGTCGGAGAAAGTTCAACAGCGGGCAACAAAATCATTCCAGATCTAAGGCGACTCCCATACCAGGAACGGTTGTGGGCCACTGGGCTAACAACACTGCAAACCAGACATGACAGGGCTGATCTCATCGAAACTTTTTAAATATTCAACGATTTGGAAGATATTGATCCAAACCATTTGTTCAAAAGGTCAGATGTAACACGAACAACGAGCAGCGGTTTCAAACTCAACAGGCCTCAATGTAGGAAAGAAAACAGATGTTTTATTCACCTATAGGGTAATAAACCCACGGAACCGCCTACCTGCCGAAGCTGTAACTGCCAAAACCAGCCCGTCCTCCAAACAGACACCCAAAAGTGATTCCATGCACCCGCCAAACCCCCTGTTTATGAATAAAACAATCCCTCCTCGACTCAAGTCCATTACATCCAGCGGTCGACCCAACAGACGCATTCATCAATTTTTACATTCTGTTCATTCAAAACGGGAATTTTCTCAAATATCAAATAATATAATATATTAGCATATTGTGCATATATAGGCATAGGTTAGGGTTAGGTGTTTAGGTTCTGTTGGCGATTATTTGTATTTGTAGTACGTGGGTGAAGCATTTTCAGCGTTGTGGTTCGAACAAAATTCGTCAGTGACGCACTTGCTCCGGAAGTGTTCGGACGTCATCAGTTGTGAGTCATGTGTAAACCGCTTTTCATTCAATAACAGGAGGTTTGGTGGGTGCATGGAATCACATTTGGGTCTTTGGTTGGAGGACAGGCTGGAATAAAAAACTGTTTACACACAACTCACAACTGATGAAGTTCGAACACTTCCGGAACAAGTGCTTCACTGACGAATTTTGTTCGAACCACAACGCTATAAATGCTTCACCCAGGTACTACAAATACAAATAATCGCCAACAGAACCTAAACACCTAACCCTAACCTATGCCTATATATGCACAATATGCTAATATATTATAATATTAATTTATATTTGAGAAAATTCCTGTTTTGAACGAACAGCATGTAAAAATTGATGAATGCGTCTGTGGGGTCGACCGCTGCATGTAATGGACTTGAGTCGAGGACGGGTTGGCCAAACCACTGCTGAATTTTAAAGCCCAGCTTAAAAAATCATCAGGACAAATGGGGAGGATCTTTGACGAGACTTCCAGTCCTCGTCGAGGTCACTAGAGTGACAGTGACCCTCAGGCAGATTCAGGTAAAAAATGCATCCACTTGGTAGCCTGCAAATCTTCCTGGTTTTAGTGTACACACAACTGGTAGGTTGGGAACCTTTCTGGTGTTGTATACAAGCTCCTGGTAGCCTGGGAACCTTTCTGGTGTTGTATACAAGCTCCTGGTAGCCTGGGAACCTTTCTGGTGTTGTATACAAGCTCCTGGTAGCCTGGGAACCTTTCTGGTGTTGTATACAAGCTCCTGGTAGCCTGGGAACCTTTCTGGTGTTGTATACAAGCTCCTGGTAGCCTGGGAACCTTTCTGGTGTTGTATACAAGCTCCTGGTAGCCTAGGAACCTTTCTGGTGTTGTATACAAGCTCCTGGTAGCCTAGGAACCTTTCTGGTGTTGGTATACAAGCTCCTGGTAGCCTAGGAACCTTTCTGGTGTTGGTATACAAGCTCCTGGTAGCCTGGGAACTTGACTACCAATACCAGTACATGTATGGTTTACATACCAGTATACCACGTATGTAAGACCAATCCTGGAGTATGCGGCCCCAGCATGAAGTCTGTACCTTGTCAAGCAATAGACGAAGCTGGAAAAAGTTCAGAGGTTTGCCACTAGGCTAGTCCCAAAATTAGGAGGCATGATTTACGAGGAAAAGCAGAGTGAATTGCACCTCATGTTGCTGGAAGCCAGGAGAGCTCGGAGAGACACGATCACGGCCTACAAAATTATCAGAGGAATTGACAAGGTAGATAAAGATAAACTGTTTAACACGGGTAGATCACGAACAAGGGGACACAGGTGGAGACTGAGTACCCAAATGAGCCACAGGGACGTTAGAAAGAACTTTTTCAGTGTCAGAGTAGTTAACAGATGGAATGCATTAGGCAGTGATGAGGTAGAGGTAGACTCCATACACAGTTTCAAGTGTAGATATGATAGAGCCCAGTAGGCTCAGGAATCTACACCAGTTGATTAACGGTTGAGAGACGGGACCAAAGAGCCAGAGCTCAACCCCCGCAAGCACAGCTAGGTGAGTACAGGTCTCGGTACACCTACTAGGCCTCCCACCCGGCTACCAGGCAGATGATGGCTTGACCTGGACGTTGTGTAGCCACACTACGGTTTACGAACTTTACGTCAAGTTGAGGCTGACCTTCATAGCTCGAGGAGAGGCGAGCGACTCGTAGATGATGACGGCGAGAGGCCTTCTGGAGGAGTGAGGCCGCACACCCACGGCCCCTGCCTTATTACCCCTTGTTTTGGTCCGCCCACGTGCGCGCTCTCTTGCCCATCCACCCCATGTCACGCCCCCTTCCACCCACCCACCCCATGTCACGCCCCCTCCCACCCACCCCATATCACGCCCCCTTCCACTCACCCCATGTCACGCCCCCTTCCACCCACCCCATGTCACGCTCCCTCCCACCCTCATATCCACATACTACGCCCCCTCAACCACTGCCCTGTTAGCCCCTCCACCACCCCCCTGCTGTTATTATATTATTTATATTATATAAATATAATAGAATATATTATATGATAGAGCCCAGTAGGCTCAGGAATCTGTACATCAGATTCTGTAAATCAGTGATCAGTTTCTGCACAATAAGTGATTCTGCACATCAGTGATCTGTAAATCACTGATCTAAAGAGAATGCTGGACAATATTGATAAGATTGATGCCCATGATGCCCTCTTCTTCCTCACAAGATGCCTATCTCTCCCTAAGTTGACTTACTTTCTGATCCTTACATCCTACAGCAACCCTAAATTAAATGTGTCTGACACCCTTCTGAGGTCCATGCTTGTGAAAGTCCTGAACCTGCCATTGGACGACTCTCAGTGGGAGCAAGCAACCCTCCCTGTAAGACTCGGCGGCCTTGGTGTCCGCACAGCCTCCCAGATTGCTTTACCAGCCTTTCTTTCCTCCTCCCATGCATCGCACGACCTCGTAAGAGATATCCTACCTGAACCCCCGAGTGATTCAGCAGGAATACACGATCCTGCTTTCACTTAATGTTCAAATCAGTGGGATGCTCTTGCAGCCCCAGCACCCATCATAGTGCCAACAAAAAACATAAACAGTCCAGCTGGGACCACCCACTAGTGGGACAAAACTGATGCCATACTCAGCGCCGCAACATCAGACAAGGAGAAAACCCGCCTCAGAACAATGCCTGCCCCCCATGCAGGAGACTTCCTCCTGGCAGTACCCATGTCGGCAATGGACACGCCTCTAGATCAAGAATCCCTTTGTGTAGCAGTGGCCCTCCGCCTTGGTGCCACAATTCACACCGAATACAAGTGTATTTGCAACAGGGTGGAAGCAGACTAATATGGACTGCATGGGTTGTATTGCGGAAGCACAAAAGGCTGGCATGCAAGACACAATGAGGTCAATGACATCATCAAGAGGAGCCTCGTCTCAGCTCAGTGTCCAGCGGAGAGAGAACCTCGCATCCTAGAGGACCAAAATCCGGATGACCCCGCACTTCGCCCTGATGGCATCACTATATACTGCTGAAAAACGGGCAAACAGTTGGTGTGGGACTACACATGTGTTTTCACCCTGGCTGACACCTATGTACAATTCGGTGCTGATCAAGCAGGTGGGGCGGCCAACCACAGGGAAATAGCAAAATCAGTCAAATACAGGCGATTGGAAGGTCAATATACCTTTGTTCCCATAGCATCTGAGACGCATGGCCCCTGGGGCAAGAGTGCCTTGGGATTTCTCAAAAAATTGGGCTCCAACCTCATTGACGTCACCAGAGACCCAAGGGCTGCCAGTTTTTTGTTTCAGCGCCTCAATGTGGCGATCCAGAGGGGAAACACCTGCTGCATCCTCGGTTCCTGTCCGGAAGCTAAGGAACTTCAAGAGATCCATAACCTTTAAGCACACATTGTTCAACCAATGTATATATTGTAACCTTTAAATATATACTAAAGCACAAAAACACAAAAGGAAGGTGGTGGTAGGAGAAAAGCACACAGAAACTGTATTGGAGGGGGACCTAAACTTTCCCTCTAATGCGTTATGTGTGCTTTCCTCCGAGGCTAAGGGTCTCCTTCCAGCCAGAGATGGTACTCCCTTCCCTATTTAAAGAAAAGAATATATTATTATTATTATTATTATTATTATTGTTATTATTATTATTATTAGCAGCAGCAGCGCAAGAGAGCGGCAAACCCCAGGTAGAGTCCGAGCAAAGTTTGGAGTAATTGAAGCCTAGCGGTGAATAATACAGTTTGTGTTGTTTGGAATTTTTGAGCCAAGCGTTTGAGCGTGGGAGGTAAAGTCAGGTGTGGAGCCATTGTTGAGGGAGCCAGCGTGGGGCCAGGGAGGATATAATGTTCTCTTATGAACTTAATGGCCAGCTCCTCCCTATTGTTAACTTTAGGTAATGTAATCTGGCAAGACAAAAGTCATCCTTTGTTTACTCTAGTTGTGGCGGCTCTGACCTTCCCCCCCTGGCTGGCTGTAGTGACCCCTGACCCCTGGTTGGCTGTAGTGACCCCTGACCCCTGGCTGGCTGTAGTGACCTCCTGACCCCTGACACCTCACCTTGAGCTCCTCACACACCTAGTCTTTTGTAGTGAACCTGTCTGCCCCTTTCCTCAGTTTCATTAGCTCTCCCTTCACTGTTGTGTTCCTTCTGATGTGGCTGTGCAGCAATTTGGGTTGGGTTTTCCCTTTATTCTGCTATTTGCTATGTAATTTTCGTACTGTTTTTCCTGCTTCCCTGCTCATCCTTTTGATTGTTGCCGCCGAAGGCGGCTAGTTTATTGTGCACCCCATACTCATCCTGTGAGCGGTAGCGCAAAAGCATTACAGAGGGCACAAAAGGTCTTTATCAGACCTCATCTTAGATTATTACATAAACAATTTCTTCAATCCTTCACACCTTATAGATACAATGTCAGCTAGTTACAGAGAAAGTGCTATTACAAGAGCTACATATTTACAGTAAGTCATCATACATTAATGGTAGGTCTTGTCGTTAATACATAATAGTTTGGCCAATGGGGATACTACAGAGTCATAGGGGAGCTTCTGTTTATTATTAGTCCTCACAATACACTACTTGTTTCTGAATCTCATATGTCGTTCATCTACTGGAAGCAAAATGTGGGTACAGTGCAAGGATTTCAGGTAATTTATCCATGGTAATAAGATAGGTTGCCATATCATACAGAGTGAGCTTAGATTTATCTCTAAAAGGCTCAATTTTACAACAATCCAAGATATAGTGTTCGAGTGTGTGTCCCTGCCTATGTCCACACACTTTACACTTTACTTCATCTAGATCCCTATACAAGCCGAACTGCCAGAGATACTTGTAGCCAAGTCTTATACGAGCTGTGACAACATCTGTTAGTCTACTGACTTTGTTACTTGCCCCATACACATGTTTTACTTCACACATTTCATTGTGATGAACAATGGACCTACTAGTTCCAGTTTGCACTGTTCTACTTTCTTCAAATCCATCTAGGAGTTGCTCATTCCTGGCCTTCTGGTATCTTCCTCTGGTGTTATGTTATTCTGTACTTTCTCTATGCAATTGTTATTACCTGCTTTGCCATCTTAATTACATCCCGTAGTAAACCTTGAGTTCCACATTTGTACTTCGTTTTTTATGTTTTTTTTTTTACTGGGACAAACTTGTTCTGTGCCTCCTTACTCTTCTGGGTAATGTAGTCCATCATGTCTTGTGCAGCCTTTCCTCTGATTTATATTACTCATAGTATTTTTATTAGGAATTTCCCTATCTCCTCGTGGTTTCCTTTTCAATATTATTTTCTAGTCTCTGCCTTGAGTAAGTTATCACTACTTCCACCAGATACTCAAACATCAGTGCACTGTGATCACTCATTCCCACGGGGGCTTCGAAGTTGATTTCCCTTATGTTTGAATCGTTCCAAGTGAATACCAGGTCAAGTCTGGCTGGTTCATTATTGCCTCTCATTCTTGTGGGTCCTCCTAACATGCTATCTTAAAACTTTTCCTGTGGTCATGTCCAATAGTTTAGCTTTATATGTTTCTGCACTCCCAGTCTATTTTCCAATGGTTGAAGTCTCTCATAATAAGCGCATATGATCGAATTCTACAGGTGACAGAGGATGCCCTTTCAATTATAGTAATAACCGCTATGTAATGCCTGTCATACTCTTGCCCACTTCTTCTGCCATTTAGTGAAAGATTATAAATCACTGCTACCTCACAATGTGTACATGTGTCCTATATATTCTATACAGTGTGTTATATGTGAGTGGACACACTATTTGCACATGTGTCCACACACTATGTGTAGATGACATGCACGCACACACACACACGCCTCTAATTAAGGCCCCCGTCTACGGCTGACGATAGGATTCACTCCTCTGGTAAAACTACGATCCTCATCACGATGCGCTCTCCCGTGGGTGGCTGTGGGACCCAGATGGGAGGGGAGGTCGCGGGCAGGAGGGAGAGGAGTGATGGGATATGTGGCGTGGGTGGGGGAAGAGGAGGGGAAGGGATAGGGATTGTGGGGTGTGGTGGTAGGAGGGCCATGGGGAGAACACGCTGGCATCAATATTGCATTAGCTAGGGATTATAGGGGAGGCCTGCATTGTATGCAGAACAGGATGGGATTTGAAGGGTGCATAGTTTAGTTTTTTGTTTTATGAAGATTCAGAGCAGTGCATTGGTAGCCTGTTATAGATGAGGCATTACAGAGTATAGATCAAGAGCTAGCTGTGGGTATAATATTTGTCAATAGAAGACACTAAGTCAGGAAGATTAACCGTTGGTGTCTGGGAATATTCACGAGGCGCTGAAGGCCATTCATGATGCCAGGACGAACAAAAGGACGTAAGCTAGGCGAGCGACATTGTCCCATTCACCAAGGGACGAGGGTCCCAGAAGGACATTAGGAAAGCAAGACCTACGATCATCTCGAAAATCAGGACATTCCACAAGGGGGGTGCAAAAGTGCCATTGGGACGATACAGTTTGGACAATAAGGAGCAGGGCGGCATTCCATTAAATGCCAATATGTGTCTGATACCCAGCTTGGCCAGCGCCGTGTTCCGCCACCTATTGCAGTGGTAGGAGGAAGGCCACGGGAATAGGCCATCTTTAAGAGTGTGCAGCTTGTTACCTGTAATAACAGACCACTGACCTTGCCAACGAGAGCAACTTGTGGAACTAATGACTGGGTAGAAGTCCGAGTGAGGAACCCTGTTACGAGGAACATGACAGGCATGTATGGTCCCCATAGCGGTGGCATCTGCAAGTATATTCATTTGACTGTCTTAGATCTGCTGGCAGCATGGCATGATTGTACAAACGAGTGTATACTCCTCACTCCTGAAAGATTCGAACCCAGACAGCCAGAGGCTCCATGCACCTTAGCATGTCCAGTATTTTCACCACTAGGCCACAATTAAAAGAATTGGAAGTCTTAGACCCTTAACCCTATTCCCCACAGCACTCGGTGACCTTTTTGGGCACAAATATTTCATCAAATCACCTCTCATGCTGGGGTCACGTGAGTAACATTTGTGCGAAATGTCACATCGCACAAATGTTACTCACATGACCCCAGCATGAGAGGTGATTTGATGAAATATGTGCCCAAAAAGGTCAGAGTGCTGTTGGAAATTAGGTCAAGGGGCTGATGACTTAAAATTCTTTTAAAATAGTCGTTGTGGCCTAGTGGTGAAAGTACTGGTAAGATTAATGATTCTAACACAAATCTTCTCTATTTCTTATGTTTTTCTTCACTGTTGAGGAAAGTTGAAAAATTAACTCTCCAAAGTTAATTTTCACAATTTATTAGGGTCTGACGCCTAGGGATGCATTTCGCAAGGTACTCCATACATTTTCAGACAAATTTTTCATGCTTTTGCAAAGGCATATATTCTCTTGGGGTGGGGTGGTACAGGACCACTTCACCCCAAGAGGTGATGGAGGTGAACAAGTGGATGAATGTCTTAACATAAGGGATATTAATAGGCTATTACATGCCTATTAATTCTTGCTGCTCCTGTCTCGGTGTCATGGCTCAAAGGTCTCGAAGTAGGTAGAATGTAATAATGTGTTAACTGGTTGTTGATTGCTGGTCTTGACTTTTTGATGTGTAGGGCCTCGCTGATGTCCAGTCTTGTTATTGTTATACCTTTCGATTATTTCAGTATTGCATGTTAAGATGTTAGTATTTTGTAAGTGGTGATCATATTACTTCTTTTTTTCTATCTTCTAGTTTTGCCATGTTTAATGCCTCTAGTCTCTCCTCGTAACTCGTTTTTCAGTTCCGGAAACCATTTTGTAGCATGCCGTTGCACCTTCTCCAATTTATTTGTGCGCTTCTTGAGATTTGGGCACCATACAACTGCTGCATATTCCATTTTTGGTCTCGCTTCAATGAACAATGCCTTCAAAGCACTGACATAGCTCTCACTCTAGACAACAAATAAGTACTGTACAGTTTGTCATCCTGGTATGAAGATGGACATCAAGTCTATGTGCTGTGTTAACCCCCATAGTGCAAATGATTAACAAGAGGAACGTCAAGTGATTTGTGGAGATTACTGCTCATGTGATCACCAAAAACAAATAATAAGCTCATGGATTGTTATTAGCAGTGCACTATCAGCATCATTAACCCTGCTAGTTAACCACGGGAATATTCAGGAGTTGGTCCTACACTAGTCTGTGTTAAATATAGACCGAGACAAATGAAAGCCATAGGTCAATGAAATTTTATAATTTATTGCAAGACATTTATTGACTAGATGTTGGTATATATTTGTCTTTGAGTTTACAAATTGAATAACTACACTTGACACCATGTTTCTCAAAGATACTCACCTCCCAAGGAGTAATCAAGACAGAAAAGCCTCCAATCATCCCCATTTAAATATATTCCTTTAGATTGTTTTTATAAAGCTACTACATATACAGTACTGAATATAGCAATTTCTTTTGGGCCTACATTCATCAAAAGTTTATCAACTACTTACATATTTTCTATAGTGATGCTGGGTAAATTTGTTTCATATAAATGTGAATACATGTGTTCATTGCAGGTTGTAATCTTTTAGTTGTTTTGGGGGTTTCTGGGAACTGTCTTCATACGCAGACAGTTCCTTCAGAACAGCTAAATCAACTACTGTACTTTTAAGATTAATATGCTTTATCATTGGTGGGTTAGTATTGGTGCAATCAGCTTAAACTAGTCCATGAAAAAATAACAGCTACAGGTAGAAACCTAATCAATACACTTCAACTGTAGATTAGAATCTACTTCAAAAACATATTTACAAGGATATAAGAGCAAATAAAATTCACAGTAATTTAAAATATGTAACCAACTCTTGGTGATATTATATATATATATATGTTGTACCTAGTAGCCAGAACGCAGTACTTGGCCTACTATGCAAGGCCCAATTTGTCTAATAAGCCAAGTTTTCCCAAATTTATATATTTTTCGATTTTTTTTTCTTATGAAACGATATAGCTATCAATTTCATGATATATGAGGTAATTTTTTTTTATTTTGAGTTAAAACTAATGTAGATATATGACCGAACCTATTTTAACCTAAGCTAAACTAACACAGGTCAATATTTTATGTTCTTAATACAATACAATAATTATAATTTAAATAAACCAGTTGTAAAAATGTTGTCGAAAATAAAGAAAATTACTCAGCCTGTTAGGCAAATTGGGCCTTGCATATTAGGCCGAGAAGTGCATTCTGGCTTCTAGGTACGACATATATATAGTGTATATACAGTATATATATAATTTTTACTGTGGTTCACTCTTTACTTCTTCTCCTTCCTTAAGCTCATCTAATATAAACTTACAAACAAAACATGTCCAAAGAGAAAGTACAGCTCCTAAAGTAAGACAAAATCTTAATCCTTTAAACCAATTTGGGTAACCCATCATGGCTAGGTCCATATACCCAGCAAATCCAACTCCAGCAATAACAGTTATTACCCCAATGGAGTAAGGAGCTAAAATTCCGAGCCATGCAATAAGGGGAGGCGTGACACTGTATCCCAAGTTGTGCCAATCTGGAGGTTGAGAGCTGCCCTCTGACAGTGTTAATCCCCATCGCACACCTCCCAGGAAGGATAAAACAACTGCTCCATAAATGAGTTGTGTATCAGCCATACTCGGGTCAAATGCTCCAGAAGTAATCATGAAGACAGGCGCAGCCGCAATTGGTATAAGGCCAGAGAGTCCGAAGGCCAGTGCCGGAGTTGGAGAATGCCGCATCTGAAAATTTAATTGAATTTTGAGATAATTATCTAGTACTGTATCGTCTATGGCATGCACAACTATTCAATGGATTCAAAAAAATCTACAGAACTTTAGCTACCTTAAAAAACTTTTAATATATCAACTGATTTTTTTTTAGTTTACAACAATAGTTTTTACAATTACTGATAAACATGAATACTGTAACTTTTCAGCTGCATTATGCTTCTCTTGAAGAGGGTATTTCACATTATATAGTGACATTTTTTGCTTATTCATATACAGTAGTTTACACACACTTCCTTATTTAAACTTCTAAATAAGTAAATTACCTAATCTTTCTTCACTCAATTCTCTGTCTATATGCTTATACTGTATCAACATTGCTTCCAATGCTAATGCCTCCCCTTTAACATGCAATATGTGTTATCTGGAAAGTTCAATGGGCAAAAAACACCTTAAAACCTTACCTGCTTAATATTGTCCATTATGGTAAGGGCATTGGCTGGTGTATTCTCCTTGAACTTGTGGCAAAAAGAAGTATGAAGAAGCTGAGCTGCAATACCTGTGAACACAGGACATATTATGGCTCAAACAAGTTTTCATACCATGTTTTCATCCCCATAACATAAATGTACTACTGTAATACAAGCTAACATAATGTTATGCATTATTACACAGCATGTTGACAAGCTTAACAGTATTACTGGTAAAGGCAATCATGGTTGAATTTTGAAAATTCACATTCGGGTAAAGTTGCTGGTCACACAATTAAGCTACATGTAAAAAAAAAAAAAAAAGATAAAAAAAATCTCTTCCCTACTGTTAAGACAGGATGCTTGTTAGCCTTACTGAGGTACTGTACCTCTAGCTCAACAACAGCCCTTCCTCAAGATGCAACCCACAACAATTGCCTAACTCCAGATACAGTACATGTTTACTACTAGGTGAATATAGGCATCAGGAGTAATGAAACATACCCAAGCACCTCACACTGTCCTCTGCTACAGGTCCCAAATGAAAAGAGAAGACATTTATCTATAAAATGAGCAGAATCTAGTCTACATTCAACTCTTACAAAGACAATAGGCAAAATATGTAGCTGGCCGACCAACTGGTCCAGCTCAAATGTTCAGTGCCTTGTATGGGAGCCACTGAAGCTTTTGCTATGTTAATCCTGTTTTCTTGGTGCATTGTTCCAAGGCCAGGCTTATAATTTTATCTGTTGGATAGTTTGATTCAGCCAGCCAGATATGTATCTGTATATACATAACATGCACAAGCATGCTGCTATTACAGCACATACTGTACTTTTTTTTTTTTTGCTAATATGTTTATGGCTAATATTTGGGCTCAGGGCTTCTGGCAGTCTAATAGTGTGTTGGCTGTTCTTTGCCTTTTGATTGTTCCCTTAACTCCCAGTGACTGTGACACTTTGATGCCTTTCCAGTCGCAGAGTTCATTCTACCGTAAGGGCCTGGGTTTCTAACCTCATCACCCCAAAGGCTAGCAATTCATCATTGTTCTGTTATTAATGTTTCATTTGGCTCAATAGCATTTTTGTATCCAAAGAGGCATTGGGAGTACTGTACTCACCTAATTGTGCTTGTGGGGGGTTGAGCTTCAACTCTATGGTCCCACCTCTCAACTGTCAATCAACTGGTGTACAGGTTCCTGAGCCTATTGGGTTCTCTCATATCTATACTGTACTTGAAACTGTGTATGGAGTCTGCCTCCACCACATCACTTCCAAATGCATTTCATTTCTTAATTACTCTGGCACTAAAAGTTTTTTTCTAATGTCTATGGCTGATTTGAGTACTCAATTTCCACTCATGTCTTCTAGTGCTTGTGGCCCTTGTGTTAAATAAACTGTCTTTATCTACCCTATCAATTCCTCCTCTCCTCGTAGCTTATACCCCTCAGATCAGGTACAGTACTAGTTTGGTGGCAAACCTCTGAACCTTCTCCAGTCCTATGCTTGATGAGATATGGACTCCATGCTGGAGCTGCATACTCCAGGATTGGTATACACCAAAGAGCTACTGAGGACCAGCTCAGAAATCAAGAACTGAAACAGACATTTCTGAGTGACCTCAGTAGCTCCCCGTACCTGCCTGTCATTTCCTGTAGTGATTCAGGGTGTTTTCAGGGAAGCATTTGAGGAAGGCAGGGAGGCAGGTTGAACCTGTGACTGACTCAAGCTACTATCTGATGGTACACTTGGATACGAGCACAAGATTTGTTGACAATGAACAAACTACCACGTCCTATGTTTTCATCTTTTTTTTTCTCTCTAATCAACAAATGCCATTTGATTTTCGTTACCTGTACTTTCTGGTAAATTTTGTAAAGTTATGAGGTTGATCTTAAACTCCCACATTCCCTTTGCCTCTACAAGCACACCAGATTCTGCTTCTGGTAAGCCTGCTAAGCTCAAAGATCTGGCAGTGTTAAGAACATGCCTATAATACTAGAGCCAATGCACCAGGCAGCTACTAATTCCTCCAAGTAAAGGAAGTTTCATTACATTCAATGCCCGATTTTTTTTGGCACAAGACAATAATAAGCAACCATACCCCCTAGTGAAAGGCTTAAATTTACAGCTTACCATTTACACCTATAAGCTTTCTCTGGACTAAAGAAGAATCCAGAGAACCCATCACTAAATTGTGGACAGGACGACGACATCTCCCAAGCCATCGCAAGGACATCATCATCATATGGTACCCTGCAAAAGTGCATTTATTTGTAAATAAGATTAACACCACACATACCATATTTACAGTTATAATTTTATCATTATGAGATTTAATACAATATATTCATCATTTTGAATGCTAATTAGTTTCATATACAAAATGTTTTAAGTAATACAGATTGATTAGTCTGCTCTGGCATAACTTAAAGTTGATCTTACAAATATTCAGAATTAATCAATACAGTACTGTAGTATATCCTCCATGATTACTGCAAAAAACTGTTATACAGATACTGTATTCTGAAGTTTGGTTTTCCATTTAACAAAATTCACGCTTCATAAAATGTAGTGGTGATAAGAGCTATTAGGCTTGCCTTTTTTATGGCATGATATATAATAATTACTTTTATGTTCAAAAACAAAAAAATCTACACAGCCTTTTTATACCAATATTGAAATATGCAACAGCAGCCTGGATTCAATACCTTGAGAAGCATAAAACAAAAATGAAAAAAGTACAGATTTGCAACAAGATTGGTGCCAGAGCTAGAAGGTCTAAGCTATGAGGATAGGTTAAGGCCTCATAACCATGGCAGAGAGAAACAAAGAGGACATGATTGCAACATACAAGATAGTGAGTAGTGAGTGAATAGTGAGACAGAGATAGATTGAATTGGTAAGATGGACAAGAAGAGGAGGCATAAGGGCAAGCTGGAAATACAAACGAATCGAGAAAATTCAAGGAAATTCTTGTACTTTGTTTAGGTGGTCAAGAAGGAAAAGGCACTGAAAGGTGTGGAAGCCACCTCCATTCACAACTTTAAGGCCAGATTTGACTAAGAATTCAAAGGTCAGAATACTTAGATTATAACGTAACAGGTACAACAAGACTAGTTGGCAGGGACATGAAATTAGACCTAACTACCCCGTGGTTACTGTCAGGCAAGTACTGATAGGTAAGTACGTGTAAATAGAGTACTGGTGGTGACCGGGACCCGAGGACAGTGTCCCGGTCCCAGACGCTAATATACACCCTCTTAACACCTTGCCGCCACCTAGACATACATCTTAGCCTTCTAGCATAGTATTACAGCAAACGGCTGTGGATGACATCAACCAACAGTGAGTAAATTTATTTATATCTTGCCTTTCAACACTCGTCTCTAATCTCGTTCGATCTGGTGGTGCTTGTGTTCGTGTGAAGGTCAACAGCCGCCCGCAGCCACAAGCTAGTAATCCGGATTCATATGCAATACTGTATTTCTAATACTGTCAGCCAAAATGAAATAAAATCTAATGTATATTAATAATAATGCAATACTAATACTAATTATTGTATAACACATATAGATTTGATTACAATGCTTACATGTAGTAGGTATAATATTTGTGAGTTATTGGGAACCAATAGGATTTCTTGGGATTTTTTTGTTTTTTTAATTAACATTCTTAGGTATACACAGCAATGTTCTGCTACACTATTCTATATGAAAGATTCCACAGTGTAGATTAAAAACTAGTTATACGTTCATCTAATATGCCCAACTCACAGGATGGTTAGGATGTGGATTAGTATTGGAATAATTTAAGTAGCTGGCAGATTAGAGATACAGTACTGTGGTTTGCTACAGTTGACTGTAAGAGTTTCAAGCTCAACAAGGCACACTGTAGGACTGAAAACAAGAGATGCTTTTCCACCCAGGGTTATGAACCCATGGAACTGCCTACCCGCTGAAGCCGCAAATGTCAAAACGGCTGAATTTTAAAATCCAACTTTATAAAATCATTAGGACACATGAAGGAGGGGGGGGGGACCTTTGACAAGTAACCGGCTTTCTGTCCTTGTCGAGGTCACTCTAGAGATAGTGGCCCTAAGTTAAATTTAGGTAAAATATATGACCCCCTGTATACAGGATGCAAAATGTAAAGTGGAATAGTTATATCATAACTAAACAACATTGTATAGTACCAGAAAGTCACTAATTTCATAATAAATATTTCAAATAAATAATAGAGCTACAATGTCACGCATATTTGTCATAATCAGTTTAACTTTACATATAAAACGTTGATTACTTATTTTAGCGCGGTCTCCCTCCAATGTTTACCAGGTGGTGCTGGTGACGGGCTGGGGACGACAACTGCACTTATTATACACAAGTCTCTGTTTACTAAAGACGAAATCATGGCAAACAAGCCACAGAAAATGCCCAAAGTGGCCAAGGTATGTAATGTATGATTAAAAATAATATTATTCAATCAAAGTTTGATTAAATTTGAGTTTATGCCACAATGTCTTCAACATAATGTCTCGATTCTTGGAGCAAAAAATCTAATATGCACAGCATACCTGACGATATTAAACCTAAAACTACATGATAAATATTGTGGACATATATATATATATATATATATATATATATATTATATATTATATATTTTTAGTTGCATATTGGTTTGGGGACCATTCAAGCTTGTTAGCATATATTATATGCCATATGAAAGATTACACATTGGTAAAAATAACTATAATATAATATTTCCATGATTCAGTGCTTAACTCTTATGAAAATTATATTTTTTTTTAGTAATTTATGCTTTAGGCTTGGTTAGGTTAGGTTTTACAATTCGTTGGCTGAGTATCTTTGGTATGAAATGACCTGAACATCCCCTTGAACATTGTCTAAGCTTCAAGAAACAGTGAGAAATCTTGTAGTTGAGTAACTATCCACTAAAGTCATTTGCAGTGACTTGGTTCATGGTGGTTGTGTTAATATGTGCAATACACTATACAGTATACATTTAGAGTAAAGTCTATTTAGTATCATCATTGAGTTTAAATTTGCATATATTAAATGTTTATTAAATTAAAAGATAAAGGAGAATTTGCTATTAATTTTGTTTATATATTTTAATCCAACAGGTAAAGGACAAATCTCCTGCTGAGCTGCAGATAACAGCAGAACAACTATTGAGAGAAGCTAAGGAGCGAGAACTTGAAATTGTGCCCCCTCCTCCACGGCAGAAGATATCAGATCCAGAAGAACTTCAAGAATATCGCTTGAAGAAAAGACGAGCCTTTGAAGATAACATTCGTAAAAATCGGGGAAGCATTTCCAATTGGATTAAATATGCAAAGTGGGAGGAAGAGCAGCAAGAAATTCGAAGAGCCAGGTAGAGTGTTTTATGTATTTTGATAGAAATTACTTGTGATGTATCAGAAGTTACTTATGATGTATCATTATCTATCCAGTATTTATGGCTCCAAATAAATTGTTTTGTCAGTCTTTTCAGTGTTAAAGAATTTCAACAACTTCTTGAGACAATTGGTAAAAATATAATATGTTGGTATGGCAATGATGTAAATGAAATATGATTCTTCATGCTCTTAAAAATACTTATCTGTTTAAAGAACAAGACATACTTCAGTCAGCAATGTACAAGTGAAAGTAATTAAACGTTTAATTAAACCTTATTAAATTTTATACAAGTGAGAGTAATTAAACCTGTTTAAAGAACAAGATGTGTAATTAAGACAACTGCAAAATATGAAAATACAGTAGTGATCATTGTGATGATGATGCAGAGGTGAAGATAGGAAGGTACTGTTCATTGTGATGGAGATGCAGAGGTGAAGATGACGAGGTACTATCATTGTCATGGTGATGCAGAGGTGGTGCTGTTATGAGAGTACAGCCACAGCCAAAATATATAGCTTCCCTGTTTGGTTCCCTTGTATCTCTGGTATATTGGAACACTAGTATTTTATTAACCTTTGAAGATACTGATTAATCCTGAATAACACTTCCTACTGGTTGCACTTTGTAACACTTTGAGGTAAAACCTTGATGATACTAGTTATAACACTGGTAATTTAGATTACATATTCAATGTAATATGAACCGAAATATAATGCACCACTGATGGTTACATCCAGGACCAATGGTACCTTCCCAAGGAAATGGTATACAGAGACTTATTAATTAACCACTGCCACCATCTTGCCTGTCACTTAGTTATATCAAGCAATGAGGCAAGAAACATGCCTTGACTTTAAGAGTCCTTTTTTAACTCATTAATTATGGGCTGGTTGTTAACAAAACAACCGGCCAAATACACAGAGGAGTTTGAAAGGTTCCATTTAAGTGACTCAGATGTAAAGTTTAACACAGGGTTTATTGAGAACAATATATGATATTCACCAAACTATAAGTCCCTACTCTAACACTGACAATTGTTTAGACATCACACATGGAAAATATCAAAGATCACACACATTACCTTCTGGGTCCAGAGGATGCTTAAACTACCCTGCTGTCTTTTTCCATATCAAGGTTTACATTGTGCATTCTTGTTAACACTTCAGCTAAGGTGTATATGTACTGTATCATTATGAGGGGTTTGATGTAATGGAAGTACAGTATGGTTTTAATACTGTAATTGGAGGTTACTCACTGTAGGTAATTATGCTACTTTCTAGATTGCTTGGGGGCTACTATACAAGATCCCCATAGGCAAATCTGGTCAAATGATGTTGATGTAACTTCGAATAAATATTGAAAATGTTGATCCAGTGTTGATTAATCATTACTTGAGCATGATTTGGCTGTTGATTGTACAGGTCGTAATGTATTAAATACAGTACAGTGTATTTACATATAATTCTGTTACTACACTTTGAAACTTTGTTCCTCAACACCTTCCAGTGTTTAGAAGATTAAAGAAACACCTGAGCAATATTTTTAAGTACTGTATTATTTACATGATTTAAATAGATTTTCTTGATCTTATTTTCCAACCAGGTCTGTGTATGAGAGAGCTTTGGATGTTGAACACAGAAATATTACATTATGGCTGAAGTATGCTGAGATGGAGATGCGTAGCCGGCAGGTGAGTTCTTTGACGTTAATATTTTGTAAGTGAATTTATTGACATATAGGTAGCCCAGGTGTACTTGTATATGCTTGGATTTTTGTGTAAGTAAAATTCTATTTCACTCAAGTATAGAATAAAGAATGGAGATAACTGTCTGTCTTCTTCACTGAGTAACCTATCTACCACATTCTTGTTCCTTAAGATGATGGTCTGAAGAATTATTACGATAATTTTCTCTTTGTAGTAAATGTAAAAAAATTGTTCTGAATGTGAACAAGCAGAATTAGTGGCTTGAATAATTGTTTTGATTTGAGGCAAATTTATTTGAGTACCTTTTCAAGTAAAATTTGCCCGAAATGCTATACGTACTAGTGTCTGTACAAGAATGTAAGAACTCTTGTATATACAGTACAGTATATAAATAAAAAAATAAAAAATAAATAAAAAAGTACAGTACTTAACTTTGGATGCAATATGTTCTAAAGTAATTATTAACCTGAAAGCAAAAAGTTTCCTGATCTGTTATTGAGAAATGTGAAAACAACAAATTGGGGGCTTATTTTTTTTTATACACCTTGTTGAACTCGAGCCATTGGCTTTACTTTCATATATTTATTTTCATGTGGTGTATTGTATTCAATATTGATAATATGAAGTATTTATATATTTTGAAATATAGCATTAATATTTATACAGACAAGAAACGTTAATTGCATTTTCAGGTGAATCATTCTCGCAATGTGTGGGACAGAGCGGTCACCATCCTACCGAGAGCCAACCAATTTTGGTACAAGTTTACTTACATGGAGGAAATGCTGAAGAACATTGCTGGCTGCAGACAGGTGAGAGCAAGTCATTCCCAAATACTCTATAACATTAAATGATTGAATTTGGAATTTTATTAATTATTTAAGATCAATTATTTAGGTTGTATGTTTATATTACAGTGGAACCTCGATTAACGACTGTCACTCTTTACAAATTTTTCTGGTTACGATCTCAATTTCTTCGTAAAATTTGACTCGGTTGATGACCTTTACCTCACTTGGCGACGAGTTTGTTGATACACGTATAGGTCGACCGAGCGCGTGGGTTCCTGGTGGCACAGGCGAGGTGTGCTTCAGTTTACCAGTACCTCCCGCTTAGTGACGATCGTGCTTGAATTCTTTGTAAAGGATTTCATTATTTTTCTGCTTTTTTGGTTTTTGAACATAAAAAGTAATTATTATATATCACAACATGGGTCCCAAGAAAGTCAGTGGTAAGTCTCAACCTAAGAAAACAAAGGTGAGGATGATAGAGGAAAAACAAGAGATCATTCGTAAACATGAAAATGGTATGAGTGTTGTACTAGCTAGGTTGGATGGTGCTTATGTGGAGGAGTTGGTGGAAGAACACAGCAAAGCACTGACCTCTGTCGAACTCCTAACCCTTCCCAAGGAGCAGCAACAAGAGACAGCTGAGGAAATTTCTTCAGGGGAGGAGGAGGAGGAGGCATGTCCCTTCCTCATTAATTAAGAAAATGTGTGCAGCAGGGGAAGAACTGCAAAGTTTTGCTGAAAAGTGTCACCCAGATAAAGCTCTAACAGGCTGTTGCATTAACCATTTTAATGACAATGTGATGTCTCACTACAGACAAGTGTTAAAATGTAGGGAAAAACAAGTGTCTATAGACTGATTCTTAGTAAGAAAAGCAAGCAGTGAGCCATGACCAGGTCCTAGTGTTATGCTCGCAAAACGTAGGAGAGAGAGAGAGAGAGAGAGAGAGAGTACCCCAGAGAAGTCATCACTGCTTGATGTTATAATGGAAGAGGACACCCATTTGAAACACTAAAAATCTCCCCCCCCCCCCCTCTCCCCCTCCTCACCGTCTTCTATATGCCAACAAGAGTCATCAATAAATGTAAGATATAACTTGTACATCCTGTAGCACAAAATATTTGTAGTATGCATTATTTATAAAATATATTTTGAAGTTAGTATTTTTGGGGGTGTGGAATGGATTAATTCAGTTCCCATTATTTCTTATGGAAAAATTCTGGTCAAACTTCCTGACCAGTTTGTATATGGGAAGCAATAACCTGGCAAATCAGACAATTACAAAGGACACCTAGCATTTGACTATGACCTTAGACATATTCTCAGTTATCATCTATACATTAGGTTAGGATTTCATGTAAGGAAAATAGGAGGGATAATGATGGGAATATTCCCCCCTGGCAAAGTGAAGGTCATCTGGTGACTGACACTGTAAAAAGGTGAACCAAGGCTGAATTGTTACTACTGTTTTTCACTTTAGCCACATTTCTGATCTCTCTCGTGATACTACAACATCATATAATATGATCAAGGTTATAAAGAAACTTGAATATACATATTACAATGCTGTAAAGGCAATCGCCATATCTTCCTGTTTTTCAAACTTCATCCTTTGGGTTACTTTTATTTTATCATTAAGTATGTTACTCAGATGTTTAGTTGCAGCATTGATGTCTGCAATGCAGCTCCATAGCATCCTTTTCCTCTTGTGTGCTTGTCACTCAATCCAGTTAGCTCTAGCATCATTTCTTCTCACCAACCGCACCAGTTTTCACTCTTTGCTAAATGTTTATTATTGTTTGTATGTTTATTATTGGGGAAATCAGTAGGAGCTATGTGGAGGATTTGAACCTGCACACTAAGTACTCCCAAGTGCATGCTTTAGACCACTTAAAAACGACATGCTCAAAAGCAACGAAACTTGGTGCTCAACCGAGTCCTCTATGGGTCCCGAGTCTTCCACTGAAGCAAGTCAGGGTTTCACTCATTGTCTGCATGCACTCACGCTGTAGTATAGGAGTAGTTCTTTCAATACTTCTCTTCAAATGCACAAACGACATGTGGTTTGTGCATTTGTGCATGTCTAAGGTGTGTGCTTTGGAGTATCCAACATGCAGGTTCAAATCCATCTTATAGCTCCTGATTTTCTCATTGATACATTGTTAATTTGATTTCTTTGTTCATGTTTAATATACTTTTAAGCAGATCATGGTAAGTACACTTTATTTTTGTCATATGAAGTGGTGGAATACTGCTGTGGATGCTCAGCTGAAACATAATGGTACTAATTCTTTGAGTATTATGTGATGCTATTTAGTGTGGAAGATAGTGAAAGAATGAGTGATTTTTTAGTACACATTTTCCTTTCCCCTACCTTGCTTTCATGGTTTTTTCCGTGCTAATACCACTCAACTCCATAATAATTGAAACTTGGTAATGATGATAAAGATAATACCATAATAAAGGGATATTTTTTTTTACAGGTATTTGAGCGATGGATGGAGTGGGAGCCAGATGAGCAGGCCTGGCTCACTTACATTAAATTTGAGCTACGTTATAAAGAACTAGATCGTGCAAGAGCAATCTACGAACGCTTTGTTTATGTTCATCCCGAACCAAAATATTGGATTAAATATGCTCATTTTGAAGAGAATCATAGCTACATTCAGAGTGCTCGGCGAGTGTATGAACGTGCCATTGAATTCTATGGCGATGATCACCTAGAGGAGAGTTTATTTATTGCCTTTGCTAAATTTGAGGAAGGTCAGAAGGAACATGATCGAGCCCGAGTTATTTATAGGTACGCACTGGATCATATGCCAAAAGAGAAGTGTTTGACTCTCTACAATGAGTATACACGACATGAAAAGAAATATGGAGATAAATCATCGATTGATGATGTCATTACCAGCAAGAGGAAATTTCAGTATGAAGAAGCAGTGACAGCCAATCCTCATGATTATGACACATGGTTTGACTATGCACGGATGTTGGAGGCAGACGGCAATGTGGATCTCATTAGAGAGACATATGAGAGAGCAATAGCTTGTGTTCCGCCCTTAAAGGTTAGTGTATGTATTATCAGCACACTATTCCCGAGTCTTGCACCAGAATGTTTGTTATGTATTGATGGATATTGTGAAATTTAGTATGTTCCAGCTTGGTGCCTTCTTTTGATAATTACTTAGTGTGTGTTATTTATATATCAGTACAGTACTGATACAGTATAAGTGTTCCATGTGTCAGTATTGATCATTTGCAAAACTATTTGCTTGTATATCTGTAATTTGATTGTGATGACACCCAACAGGAGAAGAGACACTGGCGCCGCTACATCTACCTTTGGATTTATTATGCAGTGTTTGAAGAGCTCACTACCAAGGATATGGAGAGGGCACGGCAGGTGTACCAAATGTGCCTTCGTCTAATTCCACACAAGGTGTTTACCTTTGCTGAGATTTGGCTACTCTATGCTAAATTTGAGATTCGCCAGAAGGACCTATCAGCAGCAAGAAAAGCATTGGTAAGCTGGTCATTATTGAAATGAATGGATAATCACTGAATGAATGGTTGTACAGTATATATTGTAGCAAATTTTCTTGTTGTTTAACAGTTCCAGTGAATTATTGTAATTAAGTATAATGGTGTAACCATCTCATAAAATGTTCATATGTATGTCTGCGTACATATGTGTACACAGTTTTTGTTATTAGAGTTCCTATACAGACCTGGCTCAAGCCCTGTAACTAATGTGTATTTATTCAGTGATTTTTATTTAAGATAAGTTTCCCTTGTGTTAAGGTCATGCAGGTGCAGTTTATGTTGCATTTTATATTTTATAGACTTAGAGATTATATTAATCAGCATGTTAGAATACTCAAGTGCATAAAAGTATAAATTTCCTTAATCTGAAATTTTGTTTCCGAAATACTAAAACATTCTTGACCCATTTTGCAGATTTTTTCTTTTCAAATGATTGCACTGTATTTTATTGTTTTTATTGTGTAATAGCTCACTTATTTTTTACAGGGTCAAGCTATAGGAATGTGTCCGAAGCACAAGATTTTTCGTGGATATATTGATCTTGAAATCAAATTACGAGAATTTGACCGTTGCCGTAAACTTTATGAAAAGTGGGCTGAATTTGATCCAGAAAATTGCAAAATGTGGATTCAGTTTGCAACTTTGGAGGCAATGTTGAATGATGATGAACGAGCAAGGGGCATTTATGAACTATCAATTGCACAACCACGCCTTGATATGCCGGAATACATGTGGAAGTCATACATAGATTTTGAGGTGAGTTTCTCTCTGTTCATGTATTTCATAGGGAATTTGGAGGTATAGTAATCATACAGATCATTTATTTTCTTAACTTGTATAGATATTTGTAGCTAGTACAGTATAAGAGTTTGAATGTGCTTTTTTGAGAAATGTCCAATGCAATATAACCATACTGGCTTAGTGCCTTCTGGTAACTACCGACTTATCCCACTGTGGTAGCCACTAATTAGATTCTATAGTGATTCTTTATCAAGAAGCTCTGTTTGTATCTTACAGTTGTCAATAGATTTTACTTGCATTTTCCCTAACTAGAGGTTCAAGTTTAATCAAGCATTGCTACTGATTGGAGAGAATACAAATTATAACTTGTTAAAAGAACAAGAATGTATAATCATGCATGTAATAAAAGATTATATAAAGATTTATATACAGTAATTGTTTTTTTTTCACAGGTAGAACAGGAAGAATGGGACCATGTAAGAAATCTTTATGAACGACTTTTGGAGCGTACACATCATGTGAAGGTTTGGATTAGTTATGCCAAATGTGAACACTCGATGCCTACTGAGGATAATGTTGTTCATGCCCGGGCAGTGTTCCAAAGAGCAAATCGTGCTCTTCGCTCGTGTCAAGAAAAGGAACAGCGGCTGATGCTCCTTGAAGCTTGGAAAGACTTTGAAGATGAATTTGGAGATAAAGAAAGTGAAGAGAAAGTTAAGAACCTGATGCCCAGGAAGGTTACCCGTCGTCGACAGGTCACCACAGATGATGGGTCACAGACCCGCTGGGAAGAATATATTGATTACATATTCCCAGATGATGAAGCAGCCAAACCATCACTGCTCTTGTTGGCAAAGGCTAAAGAATGGGTCAAGAAGCAACAGGAGCAAAAGCAAGATTCTGAAGAAGTCAGTTCTAAGGCAGACAAGCCAGGGTATGAAGAAACACCGGAGTTTAATCCTGATTTGGATCGTGATGACAGTGAAGTAGACGTGGGTTCATCTAGTAGTGAGTCATCAAGTGAAAGTGATCAAGAAGAGACAGCAAACAGAAACGGAAGAAAGAGAAAACTTGAAGAGAAAAGTAGTTGTGATAAAAAAATAAAAAATAAACTTGAGAAAAGCAAAACAGATAGTTCTAACACTAGTGATGAAGAAAATGAGGGATCAAAAAAGAGAGAGAAGAAAAGAAGTACCAGTACTTCCAGCTTAAGTGATGGAGAGCGGCCAGCAAAAACAAAAAGGGATAGTAAAAGAAAATCTTCAACAAGTTCAAGCAGCTCTTCTGACGGAGAGCGACCAACAAAAACAAAACGGGATAGTAAAAGAAAATCCTCGACAAGTTCTTCCAGCTCTTCCGATGGAGACCGACCAACAAAAACAAAAAGGGATAGTAAAAGAAAATCATCAACAAGTTCATCCAGCTCTTCCGATGGAGACCGACCAACAAAAACAAAAAGGGATAGTAAAAAAAAATCCTCAAGTTCATCCAGCTCTTCCGATGGAGAACAACCAACAAAAACAAAAAGGGATAGTAAAAGAAAATCCTCAAGTTCTTCCAGCTCTTCTGATGAAGATGAGAAAAAGTTGGCAAAGAAAAGATCAAAGAGGGGCAGGTCTTCCAGTGATAGTAATTAGGAAGAAAATAAGCATTAAATGGGGAAGCAGAAGGAACTGTATAAAGGCATGATGTGCTCCTGGAGTGCATGGAGCAGGCATTAAACTAATGATGAAAGTGTTGACTCGGTTCATATTCCAAGAAAATACTTTTAATTGTGGAAAGAGGTAACACTGAGTGTTATAGAATAACAGGATATAATGTTGCTTACTTACTTGTCAGTCTATTTATTTGCTTAAAATTTTATGATCTTGTATATCTTTTCTTTACATAAAAATTAAGTCATAGGATGCTAATGGGTTTCCCTTTTGCTTAATTTTTACCAAGCAAAAGCTGTATTTTTCTTGGCGTGATGGGAAAAGATAGTTAAAGATATTAGTGGTGCCTCATTTCCTGTAATACCTTTTATTCTTAGTGTCCATAGATACTAAGTATCTATGGATATACTTACAGCTAGCTAGGAAAGCTAGCATATACCTTCAACAATGTTCTAGCAAAAATTTAACAGATGTGGCTCCACCTTTAATTCGTGTCTTGTTAACTAATTGCTTTAATTCAGTTGTGTTCAGTCATGTACATTGTTCACAGGCTTATAACATTTTCTTTCATACTTTATCTACCCATCATTTTCAGGTTATTATTCAGAGCATTGTGTAGGTGGGACCATTGCTCTATATTCATATGCTTGTTATTGAAGAGAAAAAAGTAGTAATTTGTAGCACCAGAAAGTGCTGGCTTTGATAATGAGGTATTTGTACTGTATGTGCAGAAAATATTAAATGTTGTAGATTAAGAGGAATGGAGTAGGCCTGGAAAAATTGTCGGAAAGCATGGAACGATAGTGATATGCCAGTGGATTGGGAAGAAAGAATAAGGATTATTGTAAGAATTGCAAGAGGTATTTGTTAGTACTAAGTGATGCAGTTAAGTTACTAAGTTACCAAGCAAAGTGATCACAAGATTAATTAAATCCAGGAAATTATTGAGAGACTGATTACTGATGAACAAGTTGGGTTTGACTGTGGAAAAGGGTGTAATCAAATATTAGTATTGATACAATTTATAGAGAAGGCATATGGGAATGATTGTAAGTTATATATACAAAGCTATTGACCGAAAAAAAAAGCAAAAACGTTTATAAAAAGGGACTTTGGGGGGAGTGAAGAGCATGTATGGATTTGGCAGGTGTATGTCAGGGTTGTCATGTCACCCTGATTATTCAGTATATACATGGTGAACTATGCCTGGCCAGAGGAAGCTGGTGGAGGCCCATGGGAATTCTGATGTGCAAGTCTATCATCGGAACCAGGAAACCTACTTCAGGAAAGTGGAAAGCTGTGTAAGGTAATGCAAGTATGTAGTAATGAGATGAAATGAACAACTATTTAGGGATTATATAATTGTTCTGATAAAATAGAATGTGATAACTCATTGAAGGAATTGAAATTTACTCAGTAATTTGATGCTTATTGCTCTCAGAGAGCATTCTGAAATGCTCTCAGAATTGCACATCACCACTCCAAGCAAGGGTTAAGGTCATCTAACCAACTACAGTATTAATATTCATGGTAGTTGAATGCACTATACCTGACCTTGACAGATAAGCACATTCAAGTCTGAGAATTTACAATTTAACTGGAAACAAAATTACAATTGAAGCCATTATGTACTGTTTTAAAATGTGCAAAGAACTAATCTACCCTTTCTTGCTTCTTCACCAACATCACTGTATATTTTGGATTACTCCACAATAAAATTGTAGATAAATTGGTAATTGCAATCATACCACAACACTTGACAATTAATCCATGAAATGACACAGAATGGTGCCCTTCTGCTTTGTGTAAATATTGTAAGTACCTGTAGTGTAAATACATAGTATGTTTTTTGTATTTTAATAGTTAAAATATGAATGATTATGTTCAATGAGAAATTTTGGTGAAAGCATATTTTTGTTCATATAAAAACCTATACAGTTTACTGTGTGTAAATATCCAAATGGTTTTAATGTTGGTGATTTGTTCATCATCGAACTGGATTAATATACGTATCCAATATCCTGTAAATCTTTTAAACGTTTCCGAAGTTATGCCCGAAATGCTGTGCATAATTATTGGCTTTATAAAACACGCACGTACTGTACCTACCAAGTAACACTACCCAATCCTTATTGTATTTTAAAAATAATATTGTATTATTATTATTATATAACCAGGTATTTGGATCTGCTTCAAATATAAGATACATAATCCATTGCTACCTTTGTATTTAATTTTTAATATGAAGATGTACTTCATTCCTGAAAAGTTTGGGTGTCTTCTTACCATTGATAGAGAGGGGCAATTTTTTTTTATAAGCTTAGGTATACACAGCAATGTGCTACTACCCCATTCAATATGAAGGACTACAAAGTGTAAATAAAAACTGGCTATAAGTTCATCTAATAACCCCATCTCACAGGATGGTCAGTCATTACATGGAATCAGGATAGAACATCAAATGCGAGGCTTGTATATATTAGCATGGTCTAAAAAAATCTGAGTGCAGACCAAGAAAAAAAATATATCTTAAAATTTTTGTGAGTGTATGAAGTACCTGTAGTTACAGAGCTCAAAGTACCTCATACCATTTGGTCTGTTATTGATAACTGCAGTTATAGGTATAGTATTGGATTTGGGTTACGTTAGGTTGGGTTGAAATTTAAATTTAAATAAGTTTATTGATGTAAAATACACACAAAGGGATGAGGTAGCTCAAGCTATTCTCACCCCATTCAGTACATCGTGTTAAAACATACATAGACACACATCACAAGCGATAAACGTATTACCGAACATTCTGAGAGATAAACATATACATTTCCTCCTTTACACAAGTATTAGGTTGGGTTGATCTCGGTTAGTCAGGTTTCAAAATTCAAAATTCTACTATGCCACGGAGCAGTCTTTGTGGCGCAGTGGTAAAGCACCTGCCCGGCTCTTCAAATTCAAAATTCAAAATTCAATTGTTTATTCAGGTAAAGTACATACATACAAGAGGTGATACAAAAAATTGATAGATTTATAGATAGAGCTAGTATATACAATGCCTAAAGCCACTATTACGCAAAGCGTTTCGGGGAGGAAATCATTCGCCAGCCCTTTGACCTGGGTTCGTATCCTGGCCGGGAAGGACTGACCGGGCGCCAATCCTTAACTGTTCACCCAGCACAGAATAGGTTGTTAAACGATTTGGCGGGTCATATTCCAGGGAATAAGGACCTGCCCGAAACGCTATGCGTGCTAGTGGCTTTACAAGAATTTAAAAACTTTTTTTTTATATATAAATAAAAAAATAAAAAAAATCCGCGGACGAATCTTCTTGTGTGTAATGAAACTTGTATCTGGCATAATTAAAATCTTAACTAAAATAATTCGTTTGTTAGACAATATATGATATTCAGATCTATAAATTACTTTAGAAAGGCATATAATGCGTATAAATATTAATTTACACATTCCTGGCGCTATACGTCAGGAATTTCAATATGGTGTTCAAATAATTTTAGACAAAGGGTCTCTGGGTCGGTTGGACGCTTCCGGGTGACCGGGTCATCGACGACGAGCCGGTCAGTCGTCAAGAAGCAGCCGCGGCGTGCGGTGCATCGCTCCCGTGTAGGTAAGACTGATAAGTTTTTTTTTTTTTTTTTTTTTGCAAATTTATCTAAGCAGTTGGGAGGTACGCATGAATGTATAGTCTACCTCCACGTACAATGCTTAATGCATTATACATTTGTTCGCTATTATAACAATGAGTTTTGTAATGTCTCCGAGGGTCATTGTTTCCGTATATTTTTTCATCCGGGTTCTGTAGTATTCAAATATTTGTATTCCACTAATGCTAAATAGCCTGTCCTCTCTCGGATATTGTGGAAGATTTTGAGGATCATGATTTGCCAACATTATATGGGTAGGATATTATGTTGAATACACTTCCCCATAGTGTTAAACTACCCCGTCGTCAGGCTAGGCTCGTTAACGCGGCGGTTGTCTCCCCCACATCCCAAGACGCATTTATTATCGACTTTCATGTACTGTGTATTAAAAATAGTTTTTATCGTGTATGAATTAATTTTATATTCTATAATTAATTAGGCGTATAGTAGGTTCGGTATTCAAGTTCTGTTGGCAATTATTTACACTTGAAGTGTGTGGAGGGAGAATTTACATTTGAATTTGCATTTACAGTTGCCTGTCCTCAGGCCAGGCTCGCCTACGCGGCCATTTTTTTTTTTTTTTTTTTTTTTTTTTTTTAGATATATACAAGAGTTGTTACATTCTTGTACATTCTTATTTATTATGCACCCCATACCCATCTTGTGGGTGGTAGTGGAAAGGGTTACAGAGGCACATAATGGGCTCAGGGACTGAACCCCACAATTCATTTAGCTAAGCAAGTTACAATCTTGATACACAGTTTACATTTGGTCAGGTCTACATCAGCAGATAATGAGAATTCCCAGATACTTGTAGCCGAGTCTAAGCCGAGCAGTAGTAACATCTAGAAGTCTGCTGATATTATTGGATGATCCATAGATGTGTGGCTCCTCTTCCATGATAGTATGATACTGCAATAGATGAACAACTTCCCAACAGGAAGGAGCGGGGACACCCTTCCGGGAACTGAATTTACCTGAGGGCCACTAACACTAGTGGCCTCGATGATTAACCCGGCGGCTTGTCAAAGGACCCCATTTGTCCTGATCTTTTCCAGTTGTATTTTTAAACCCAGCAGGGTTTTGGCTTTTACAGCTTCGGCGGGTAAGCGGTTCCACGGGTTTACAACCCTATCGGTAAAAAAGCATCTCCTGTTTCCTGCCCAACATTCTGGCTTGTTGAGTGTGAACCCGTTGCTCCTTGTTCATGTAACATCTGACCTTTTGATGACATTGGCCTGATCGACATCCTACAAATTGTTTAATATTTTAAAGGTTTCTATGAAGTCCGCCCTGTCATGCCTGGTTTGAGGTGGTGTTAGTCCTGTGGCCCTCAACCGTTCCTGATACAACAGATGACTAAGCTCTGGTATGATTTTTGTCGTAAGACATAGCTCCATATAGCTCTGGTAAGACATGGCTCCAGAGCAGCTATGTCTTTCTGAGGATGAGGTCTCCATGTCTGGATGCAATAATTCATGTGGGGGCGCACCAGCAACAGTCGAAGTAAACCTAGGCGTGCGGTTACAAAACTGGTCGGGCTCCGGTTACACAACTGGTCGGGCTCCGGTTACACAACTGGTCGGGCTCCGGTTACACAACTGTTCGGGCTCCGGTTACACAACTTGTCGGGGTCCGGTTACATAACTCCAGGGGTGTGATTTCTTGGGCTTTGGGTTGTGCATGCTTGTGTTCCGGTTCGTACATGGTTGTGCTCCAGTGGTTGTTTGTGTACTAGTGCTCCAGGGTTGTTTGCAAGGGCTCTATGTTTATATGTTTGCTAGAAATCCGGGTTTCTTTTATTGTATATAGTTCAATTGTTTGATATGGCTCCATAGTTGGTTTCTAGGGCAAGTGTAGGGTTTTAGGTAACACTAAGAAGATTTTTGTTTGGTGGAGCTAGGAATAGAGTTTGGTTGTGCTCTGGGACTGTTTAGCTTTGTGGGGGGTTGGATGAGATGTATATTTGCTAGGCTTATGGTTACACAATTGGTCGGGGTACGGTTACACAACTGGTCGGGCTCCAGTTACGTAACTGGTTGGGCTTTGGGGGTGTCATTTGGGCTTCGGGTTGTGCATGGTCGGGCTTTGGTTCATGCATGGTTGTGATCCAGAGGTTGTTTGGTTCGTTCATGCTAGGCCTGTGGTTACACAACTGGTCGGGGTCCGGTTACACAACTGGTGGGGCTCCGGTTACACAACTGGTCGGGCTCCGGTTAAATAACTGGTCGGGCTCCGGGGGTGTCACTTGGGCTATGGGTTGTGCATGATCAGGCTTCGGTTCGTGCATGGTTGTGCTTCAATGGATGTTTGTGTACTAGTGCTCCAGGTTTGTTTGCTAAGGCTCTATGTTTATATGTTTGCTAGAAATCCGGGTTTCTTTTTTTGTATGTAGTTCAATTGTTTGCTATGGCTCAAAAGTTGGTGTCTAGGGCAAGTGGAGGGTTTTAGGTAGGGCTAAGGAGATTTTTGTTTGGTCGAGCTAGGAATGGAGTTTGGTTGTGCTCTGGGACTGTTTAGCTTTGTGGGGGTTGGATGAGATGTATATTTGCTAGGCTTATGGTTACACAACTGGTCGGGGTCTGGTTACACAACTATTCGAGCTTCGGTTACACAACTGGTCGGGCTCCGGTTAAATAACTGGTCGGGCTCCGGTTAAATAACTGGTCGGGCTCCGGTTAAATAACTGGTCGGGCTCCGGGGGTGTCACTTGGGCTTTGGGTTGTGCATGATCAGGCTTCGGTTCGTGAATGGTTGTGCTTCAGTGGTTGTTTGTGTACTCCAGGTTTGTTTGCTAAGGCTCTATATTTATATGTTTGCTAGAAATCCAGGTTTCTTTTTTTGTATGTAGTTCAATTGTTTGCTATGGCTCAAAAGTTGGTGTCTAGGGCAAGTGGAGGGTTTTAGGTAGGGCTAAGGAGATTTTTGTTTGGTCGAGCTAGGAATGGAGTTTGGTTGTGCTCTGGGACTGTTTAGCTTTGTGGGGGTTGGATGAGATGTATATTTGCTAGGCTTACGGTTGCACAACTGGTCGGGGTCTGGTTACACAACTGGTCAAGCTTCCGTTACACAACTGGTCGGGCTCCGGTTAAATAACTGGTCGGGCTCCGGTTAAATAACTGGTCGGGCTCCGGGGGTGTCACTTGGGCTATGGGTTGTGCATGATCAGGCTTCGGTTCGTGCATGGTTGTGCTCCAGCGGTTGTTTGTGTACTAGTGCTCCAGGTTTGTTTGCAAGGGCTCTATGTTTATATGTTTGCTAGAAATCCAGGTTTCTTTTTTTGTATATAGTTCAATTGTTTGCTATGGCTCAATAGTTGGTGTCTAGGGCAAGTGGAGGGTTTTAGGTAGGGCTAAGGAGATTTTTGTTTGGTCGAGCTAGGAATGGAGTTTGGTTGTGCTCTGGGACTGTTTAGCTTTGTGGGGGTTGGATGAGATGTATATTTGCTAGGCTTATGGTTACACAATTGGTCGGCGTTCGGTTATACAACTGGTCGGGCACCAGTTACATAACTGGTTGGGCTTTGGGGGTGTCATTTGGGCTTCGGGTTGTGCATGGTTGGGCTTTGGTTCATGCATGGTTGTGATCCAGAGGTTGTTTGGTTCGTTCATGCTAGGCTTGTGGTTACACAACTGGTCGGGGTCCGGTTACACAACTGGTGGGGCTCCAGTTACACAACTGGTCGGGCTCCTGTTAAATAACTGGTCGGGCTCCGGTTAAATAACTGGTCGGGCTCCGGGGGTGTCACTTGGGCTATGGGTTGTGCATGATCAGGCTTCGGTTCGTGAATGGTTGTGCTTCAGTGGTTGTTTGTGTACTCCAGGTTTGTTTGCAAGGGCTCTATGTTTATATGTTTGCTAGAAATCCAGGTTTCTTTTTTTGTATGTAGTTCAATTGTTTGCTATGGCTCAAAAGTTGGTGTCTAGGGCAAGTGGAGGGTTTTAGGTAGGGCTAAGGAGATTTTTGTTTGGTCGAGCTAGGAATGGAGTTTGGTTGTGCTCTGGGACTGTTTAGCTTTATGGGGGTTGGATGAGATGTATATTTGCTAGGCTTACGGTTGCACAACTGGTCGGGGTCTGGTTACACAACTGGTCGAGCTTCGGTTACACAACTGGTCGGGCTCCGGTTAAATAACTGGTCGGGCTCCGGTTAAATAACTGGTCGGGCTCCGGTTAAATAACTGGTCGGGCTCCGGGGGTGTCACTTGGGCTATGGGTTGTGCATGGTCAGGCTTCGGTTCGTGCATGGTTGTGCTCCAGCGGTTGTTTGTGTTTTAGTGCTCCAGGTTTGTTTGCTAGGGCTCTATGTTTATATGTTTGCTAGAAATAAGTTTTTTTTATATAATTCAATTGTTTGCTTTGGCTCCATAGTTGGTTTCTAGGGCAAGTGGAGGGTTTTAGGTAGGGCTAAAGAGATTTTTGTTTGGTCGAGCTACGAATGGAGTTTGGTTGTGCTTTGCGACTGTTTAGCTTGGTGGGGGTTGGATGAGATGTATACTTGCTAGGCTTACGGTTGCACAACTGGTCTGGGTCTGGTTACACAATTGTTCGAGTATCGGTTACACAACTGGTCGGGCTCCAGTTACAAAACTGGTCGGGCTTCGGGGGTATTACTTGGGCTTCGGGTTGTGCATAGTTGGGCTTCGGTTCGTGTATGTTTGTGCTTGGGATGTTGTTTGTTCGATTCATTCCTGCTAGGGTTGCGGTTACACAACTGGTCAGGGTCCGGTTACACAACTGGTCAGGGTCCGGTTACACAACTGGTCGGGGTCCGGTTACACAACTGGGAGGGCTCATTTTTCAGAGGGCTCCTTTGATGACTGATACTTAGGGTGACTAGACAAGGGTGCGTCATTTATTGTCTGATGGTAGCTCTTCGCCGCTACCTGCGGGCCACTGGTTCTCTAATTTGAAGCGTTGTTGGTTGACCTTGTTCCCTTGGTTCCGTGTTACATGGCTCGCAATTCTCAGGTCGTTTACAATGTCATTAAGTCTACCCAACCTGTGGGCTACTCTTGGATCCATGATGTTCGGAAGTACGCTGCTTTGACGGCAGTCTTCTCCAACATGTCCTGGGCTGGAATGTTTTAGTGCTCTGACAGGGTTCTTGCCGTCTTGTATTTGGGTTGGTTAACGTCCCTAGTCCAAGTTGGTCTTGTATTGTTCTGGCCCGGATCTTTCCCTGCCTGAGTTTTATCTTCATCGTAGTACCTGTCAACTCTGAATATTATGATTAAGGACCTGCCCGAAACGCTACGCTAGTGGCTGTACAAGAATGTAAGAACTCTTATAAAAAAAAAATTGTTTGCCCTATATATATCTGGCCGAAACGCTATGCGTATTAGTGGCTTCAGGTATGTACTAGCTCTACCTATTAACGCAAAATCAAAATATATTAGTATCCGCATTAATGTTCTCAAAGAAAATGAAAATAATTCTTGGGAGTTAAAGTGAGCGTCTCTCTCTCCCCAAACAAAGCCAAGTCGCCCTTAAGCTACCAATAAGAGTTCCCTCACCCAGGGCCCAGGCCAAGTGTCCTCAACTAGTGGCCGGACACAGCTCCTAACTAGCGAGTGATGAGGAGCACCACATCACATGATAACTCGGTAGTCATCACGAGGAGGTAACCATGTTATTTAAGATTCAGCTACTGGGAACAAAACGTTCCAAGTAGCACGGGCTATGGTGAGCCCGTAGTGGACTTACCTGGCACAGGAGCGGGCTGTAACTTGTGGGCAAGGTAACCATGTATACATGTATATTTAAAGAAGCCTCCACTTGTATTCCTTTTGACTTCTTTATGGAAGGAATTAAGTATCTAGCACTTTTGATCGGACTAATTAAAATTTAAATGTAGTTATTTTGTATTTTTCAGGGTATGATATAGAACTGATGAATGCTGCTTAGCTTATACAATATTTGACTATTGTATGTAATATGGCGTCTCGTGTTCACGTACTCTCATCATCGGACAATGATTCAGATGACAGGTTAGTTGTAATGTTATTAGTTCTTTTGACGTGTTGTACATAAAGGCAGAGCCAGGATATGTCACACCTACCTAAGACGGCCACCCAACAGATTTTAAAACCTATGTAATCAAATGTAATCCCAAGCTAACACAACCTGTGGTGTAGTGGTTAAGACACTCGCCTGGCATTTCACAAGTGTTTTGTCCTGGGTTTGTATCCTGGCCGGGGAGGATTTACTGGGCGCAAATTCTTAAGTGTAGCCTCTGTTTAACTCAACAGTAAAATAGGTACCTGGTTGTTAAACGATTTTTCACAGGGTTGTATTGCAAGCAATATAGGATTAAGGACTTGCCCGAAATGCTACGCGTACTAGTGACTGTACAAGAATGTAACAACTCTTGTATATATAAATACATAAATAAAAAACCTAACCTAATGATATACTGTACAGTACCTGAATTTATCTGAGGACCACTAACACTTCAGTGACCTTGATGAGGACAGGATGCTGGCAGCTTGTCAAAGGTCCCCCCTGCTGTTTGCCCCTGATTTTGTTTGTCATTTTATGACCTGTCTCATCCATCTAGGTCTTTCTTGTCTTCCATCTTTTTGGCACATATTTTTGAACGAGTTGCATGATGACCCTCTTGAAATTTTGCCATGCTGCTTCTGTACCATGTGTACCCATCAGCTCCCTCCAGAAGATGGTTTGCAGTTCCTCATATTCCTTGATAGTCACCTCGCTGGTAATCTAGAAATTCATCATCATTGACCTTTATGTGGGTTTCTATAATCATAATCCATCTTAAAATATGGTGGTCGCATGAGGGGTTAGCTTTTCCCCCTACAAGAATTTTATCAATCATAACCCCCTCATCTGTTGTTAGCACAAGGTCTAGTATGCTGTTACCACATGTGTCCTCATCCCCATATTGGGTGCATTCTGGGGTTCCAGGGCTTGCCGACTACTTCTTGGAGCTTGGCTCGGGTTTTATGGTCATGCCAGGGTCTCCAGCTTCTGCATGTCGAGATGGGCCTTTGGTGCCTAGTTCTGTGCCAGTGCCTCCTCCGGGGCTGTCTTCGTCTGGTCATCGCAGTGTTCGTTCTACTCGCTAATCAGCTTCTTGGAGGGGGCGTCAGCCCTTTCGCAGATCGCCCCATTGATGTGGAGAGGCTGGCTCTGTTTGCTCACGCTTGGTCCCATGATTCTTGTGCATTTCGGGTCTCATTTTCCGGCCTGTGATGGCGTTGGGTGGCTTCTCCTCTTCCTCTCGGAGGCTTGGGGCTAGCTTCTTTCCCCCGTGCCTCTGTCGGGTCATCTCGGTGAGGGTGCACCTGGGCATGGTCGTAATGCCCTCGTCCCTTAAGTGGGTTTCCCACTTGTTCCAGTGCTAAAATGGGACTGTGCGGATCTCCAGTTCATTCTGGACTTGTCCTATCTGAACCGCTTGTTTCCTTGTCTTCCTTCCGGATGACCTCTGTCTTAGATCCGGCTCCTTTTGGGGCCGGGATGTTGGATGGTGTCTCTGGCCCTCCGGGACGCATGTTGGCACATCCCGATTCATCCAGGGTTCAGGAACTGGTTTTGTGGTGGGGTGGTGTGCTTCTTGTTTTCATTGCCTTCCAATTGGCCGGCTTCTGACACCTTGCATTTTCAAACATCTTACTCAGTTCGTGGTGGCCCGTCTGTATCTGCTAGATGTTTGGGTTTTGGCCTACCTTGATGACTGGTTGGTGTGGGCTCCCAGCCCAGCCTTGTTTGGGATTTTAGGACCACTTCCATGTGTGTCCCCCCTGTGGCATTGCTGTGGCTGCAGTCCCACCTCCAGCTGTTCCTGGGGGGGTCCCGAGTCACTTAGCAGTTGCTAGGGTGGTTGTGCGGGAGTCTGAACTTCACTGTGCTGGTTTCCCGCCAGGTCGGTTCTGGCTTCGGCGTCTATTCTGGTTCCTTCGGGGATGTCCCTTCTGCCTCTCTTGCAACTGCTGGGTTCGACCCCTGTGGGCCTTGCGTCGGTTGCTGCATCGCCGGCTTCCTCTTCTGGCTTTTCAGGGTTCAGTGCCTTGGCGCCTCCCCGATCTCTCGCTCGATGTGTTCATGGATGCCTCATCTCTCGGCTGGGTCTTTGTGACCAGCGCTCACCAGGCCAGGCAGGGGCGATGGGCTCCATCCTTCCATTGGGTCCACAGCACAGTGTGGAAGTTTGAGGCAGTTTGGCTTTTACTGCGGAGGGTTCTGGTCACTCGGGGCTCTTCGATCCGGCTTTATTCGGACTGCGCTCCGGTTGTTCCTTGTTTGAAACGCAGGTGTTCTCTTCAGTCCTTGGCTCTTTGGGGCTGGTCGCTTCAGGTGACTCGTCTGCTGGATTCTCAGGGTTTAGTTCTCCGTGCGGTTCGTATCCAGGGAGTGTCCAACGTCCTGGTGGACAGCCTGTCTTGGTTCATTCCTATGTTCATGGAATGGATGGTTGTTGTTTTTCTGGCGAAGAATGAGATGGCTGCTTTCTGGAGGGGTCCTTGGGTAATTGATGCTTGGTTGGTCAGGCCGGGGTTGCATCATGTCTTGTGTTTGGTTGAGGCTCTTCGCCGTTACCTGTGCGCTTCGGCTTCTGTTGCTGGGGATGGGCTTTAGGTTGATCCGGGTTTCCCCTCATTCCCTGTTCCAGGGCTCAGGTCTCCCAGGTTGTCCGCAGGGTTAAGTCTAGCCAGCCTGCGGTTTATTTTCGTGCCCAAGACATTAGGAAGTTTACTGCGTTGGCTGCCGTGTTTGGCAACATGACTTGGGCTGATATTCAGGCACGGGGATTTTTGAGTTCGAACACGGTTCTGGCCACCCGATATATGGTTAACGTTCCTGGGCCTTGGGCGTTCTTGTGTTGCTTTGGGTCGCAGGTTGCAGTCAGTTGTCTCAACTTTGCGTTGAGCAGTGTGTGGTGGCCGCCTCCTGGGTAAGTCCCTACTTCCTTATCTTTGATTATATAGCTGCTGGGAGCCAAAGGGGCTTCCCGCAGGAAACCAACATTGAATGTAATGAAACACCATTTTTGGGGTGAGCCCCAGAGGCTCCCTGACAATCCTCCCTCTTTCTGGTCGATAGTTTTCGTGTGGTTGATACTTGGCCTCCGAACTGAAGTGGCTGGGTCGCCGGCGTTGTTAGTACGGGGGTTGGGGGGGAGGCTGCACGGATGAGTGACGTGGCGATAGTGTGAAGTTTGTTTATTTGCTTGTTTCTCTGGGAATGGAGGGAGTTCTGCCTCACATTTCAGTTTTCAGTTCCAATTTTCTTACCACGTGGGGTCTGTTTTGTTATGCTTATCTTTCTGGGTGCCTAACCCCGATCGATGGCAGATAAGGAAAACCCCCGAACGCAGGGGAGGAGGATGTCCAGGGTCATTGCTCCATGCTCCTCTCTCAGGGTGCCAGATTCTGGCTTGTGGTCCCCGGTAGGCTGAATTCCATAGAATACTACTCCGGTCTAACAATTCGCATATTAGCCCGATAGCTCCAGGGAGCCTCTGGGGCTCACCCAGAAAATGGTGTTTCATTACATTCAATGCTGGTTTTATACCTATCTCTGGTTATGTAGCTCCAGAGAGCCAAAGGGGGCTTCCCACAGAAAACCAGTGTTGAATGTAATGAAATGCCATTTTCTGGGTGAGCCACATAGGCTCCCTGGCATCTTCCCTCCCTCTGGTCAGTGGTTTCATTTTGTTTTTGATGCTCAGACTCTGAACTGAGGTGTGGGCAGCCAGCACAAGGGTCCGGGGCTGTCCCCTCCCCCTCCCTCTCCCTGGAGAGCTGTGCAAACAAGCAGCGCATTTTTTTTGGGGGGGGGGGTGCAGGGATATTCCTGTGTGGGGCATAAGTCTCTGGCTGACCAACTAAGTGTTGCTTGCTTGTTTTACTTGAGCGGAGTATGAGTATTTATGACTCGTATGGTCGCTTCAGTAAGATTTTGCCCCATGTGCGTTTCAGTTTCAGGTTCAGTGTCTGATGAGGATGAGGCATGTGGTTGGCGTGGAAGACGATGAAATAAAGGACGCCTCGCTCCAGATGGGCCAGGTGTTGCCAAATCATGAGAAGGATCCTGGTAATCATCAGCATGTGGGAGAGGGCTTTCAGTAGCAGGCCACTCATCCATGTCCCACCTCAACAGGGCCCATATTGCTACTTCATAAACTGGAGTAGGGTCAGTTTCTTGGCATCAGTTGTGTACATCTTGTACAACACATAGGCATTGTGTATAGCCATCTGAAGGAAGTAAAATGTGATCTTCTTAGTCCACTTATGCGACTTCCTGGTGAACCTGTAATATTTGACCATTTGGTCGAAGTGATCAACTCCCTTCATGTTGTTGTTGTAGTCGCAAATGGCTGTTGGTTTGTTTACAGTTACAATCTGAACAGATGATGTTCCGTCACGTTTCTTCACTCTCTTCCTTCTCTGTACTTCCTGTGTGTCAGCATTATGGCAGTTTGTTATCACTGACACCACTCTCTTGTCTTTCCAAAGGATAACAAAAGTGTTATCCTTGCGCCTGAAAATAGTCTGATCAACAGCGAATTTACCTTTGGCAAGTTGTTGCAGCTCTTTAGGGGCACCACGCTGCAATCTGAGTGTTCCACAAGTGTACACGCCATTTTCCCTTAGCAATTCTGTGAGATGGACAGAGTTATAATAATTGTCCATATAAAGATGATAACCTTTGTTCAACAAGGGTCGCATAAGGCTGTTGAAGACGTCCTGCACGCCTCCTTACAGGTGCCTTGGGGCGGCCCACATCCGCTGCCTCATCCTCAATCCCCTCGCTACTCTCCTCACTCGATGATGAATCAAACTTATCAGACGACGCTGTCCCCTCATTATCACTACTGAAATCACTCTGATGCTCTTCCCCTTCAGCATCTGCCTCCACATCTGACAAACGATCCAACAAATCAGGAATTTTACTATGGGTAAGCTTCACATTGCTGAACCTTTTGTACAGCTCACTCAACTTATCTTCCGTGGTCATTTCACTATCCTTCTTGGGGGTAGAGGTGCTCTGTCCTTTACCACGATCCATGTTTGCAAGTAATAATGTGTTGTAAAGAGACAGGAACGAATAAACACTGCTACACAGGGCAGAGAGTGGCACAGGTTCTGGACGCGGGAGCGCGGTAGTCCGTCACGAGAGACTTAAACAAAGGACTAGGCCGACCGCATGGCGTGACCCAGAATCCCATGCGGCCTACGGAGGATTGTGGGAAAACAATGCCGCTCATTTCAAAAAAAAAAAATTGAAGATCGCATAGAAACTTTTTTTTTTACAAATTTTTATATCAAGTGACGCACCGATGCGTCACTGGAAAACATTCAGTAGAAAAATGAGTGACGAGATATTAAGTCTGTGGAACGCGAAAGTGTTAACAACTTCTTCTGTTCTGTTGAATCTAAGTTGAAATCTTAATGGGTTGGTGAACGACGTTTGCTTGTTTTCTTTTGGGGAGTTCTATTTCACTGTTTGGTCTTTTTTTTTTTTTTGCAGTTTCCTATCAAGTGGGGGGGGGGGGGGGGTTGTTTACAGATGCCTACCTTTCTGGGTGCTAACCCAGTCGATGGCAGATGTAATACCCCCAAATTCAAGTTTTTTTTCCTAGGGCTATTGCTCCCTGCACCTCTTTGAGGGGAATGCCATGTTCTAGCTAGTGGTCCCTGGTTTCAAAACTCCATTGACTGAAGCCCCAGACTAATATGGCGTATACCAGTCTGATACCTCCAGGGAGCCTAAGGGGCTCACCCAAAAAATAACGTTTCATTACATTCAATGCTGTTTTTTTTTTATCTATCTTTGATCTTTGTTTTCCCATTGACCATTTGAATGAGCCAAATTCTAGTCATAGTTCCTGCATATGTCTCAGGAACTGGTACTATCTGAAAGCTTGGGTGCTTAAGCTCCAAGGAACAACTGAGTGGCCATCCAGAATGGAACGTTTTGTTACATTCAGTGCTTGATTTTATGTACGTGTATATTTAATCTCAAGTTATGATGTATGAATATTAAATAGGCATGATTTTGTATTAGATTATTTGGTAGCCAAATTTTGTTGGGAAAGCTCAGCATGTGTTTGCATTTCAGCCTTCCTGATCTGAGGTCCCGTCTGAATCCATTACTGCTGCAGCCTCTGCAAGTTAAGCCACGTGTTCATACATTGAGCTCTGATGAGGACAGTAACTGTAATGAAGACAAAGAAAAGGCAACTGAAGATGATGAACCTCATGTCATTAGCGAAGTGTTAAAAAGACAAAAAGGTTTGTTAATTACAACTCGCTCTCACTTTCAGTCAAGTGTTTACATTTTTGTTTGTGGTTTCTTGTTTGAAAAGGTTTGGATCAAGTGCATGGAGCCTTTTACATGAGTCTTATATATTGCCTAAAATACATCATATTAAAGTGAAGGTACTTTCAGCACTTTTAGTACTTTATGAAATGTGCACATTGAACCAAGTTGTCAAGCATAATTATACAAATTTTATCCACAAACACTTGTGCTTCTCATGGACTGCAATAACATAGTAGAAACCATCTCTGTTACTCAGTACAGTTTGGGAGAGCAGGGAGGGTCTGGATGGGTTTTGGGAAAATATTTGTGTAAAATTGGGTATTGTGGGCAGTTTTATTAAAGTCATGCTGTAAGGAAGCTACATAGCTTGGCTCACTTCTCATATATTATAAATATTTTGCTTTGTCTATGTCCTCTTCTAATTAAAAATAAGTTGATTGTATTAATAAACTCTGTTGCTCTAATTTAAATCTCAAACTTTAGTCTCGCTCATAAATAGGAGCTGCTTCATATGGGACAATTAGCCTTATGCAATTTTCAATCATTCTTAAATATCTTTGGTTAATACTACATCCCATCATGTAGACTCCTTGCAGACTTCTTGCCATTCACCAAGGCAATCTGAGCACTACCTACTACTCTTCCTGTCTAAATTTTTCCCTCTACCATCCTTTATTAAATATAAATTCCAGGTATCTATATAACATTGTGTACACACCTTTCAGTTTCAAACTAAAAAATTTGATTATCATTAATTCTCAATTTTAGTTAACTTAGTATGCTTAGAAGTGTTTTAACTTTAATAATGCCTTGGAAGTGTGTAAAGTAATATTACATTGAAGATCAAAATTAACCGCAATATTGTTTACTGTTTCACAGCTTTTCAAATACCCGATGATTTTGATGAGGAATTGCCAGATATCCATGAATTCACTCTCCTGGAACCTTGCTCTAGAGCTACAGGTGGCAAGGATCTGGAAATGGTAATTAGAATATGAAGCAGTTGTCATAGGATAATACAAACTATGAATTGTTTAAGATCTGTATATTAACTATGTATTATTCATTAATTATTTGAAGAGCTTAGCCTTCACTGAAAATGAATGCCAAAAATGTTTGGTTTAAAACATTTATTACAGATTTATGCATTATTGTACAGTATCAGTTTGTTTGATGTATAATCAGTTGATTTTACTTGGAAGATAACTCACACTGTTGGACTAAAGTTCAGTTTCAAACATTTTTAGTCCACACTTGATATATATTAATCAGTGTGGTTTAATAATTTTGTGATTCACACTTTAATATGACATTTCTGGGGGGAGCCCCGTCGGCTCCCCGGAGCTTTACCGGCTGATATGCTAATGTCAGACTTTGGCATCAGTCATGTGTATGGAGTTCTAGGGCCTACCGGGGACCACGAGCCAGAACCTGGCCCCCTCAGAGAGGCAAGGGGAGCAATGGCCTATAGAAACCCCCGTGTGGTTGGAAGCATTCTATGTCTGCCATCGACCGGGTCAAGCATCCAGAAAGGTAAGCATTCCAAAACAAACCCCTATTCTGGTGAAAATTGCTACCTAAGCCGAACTAGTGGATAGAACTCTTCAACAGAAAACAAGGAAACTAGTATGACGTCATACGTCACCGCGCCGCTGTCTGCGCAGCTCCCCCCTCCCCAGGAGGGGGAAGGGGGAGCCCCAGACCTCCCACGCCGGCTATCCACCCACCAGTTCTTCGGCTGATGCTATAGGCAATGGTTATGTGCTCCGGCTCCAGTGGTTGTTTCAGCACTGTACCTAGAGTGTGGTGTCTGTTTTCTAGGTGGTGCGTGAGCCGGGAGTGATTCTTCAGTACTCGGGCTGCATGCGCCTAGGGTTCCCTTCCCTAGGTGCCCTGTAAGTACTGCCCTTGGGGCTTGGGGCCACCTTCCACAAGTTCCTTGGGTCCTGCCCCTGCTTGGCCGTTTACTGCTTGGTTTTCGGCCGCTCTTTGTGTGCTCGGGGGTTCTGTCTCCCTTGTTCGCCTTAGAGTAAGGGGCAGTGTTTGCACTGGTGGGGCGCGGGGTACTGTGCAGCTTGTCTTTACCAATCATAGCGGCCGGCTCTGTTCCGCTTGGGTACGCTGTCCTCTTGCGGGGTTTTCTTTTTCTTTTGTTTATTTACCTGGTGGGGGGGTCTGCCTTCGTTCTTGCCCCTTGTGTCCCTTGTGTTCTGAGTATTTTCTGGTGGTGCCCCCTGCTAGGTCCCCGTGAGTGTACACGTCCCGGGGGTTCAGCTCTTAGAAAGTTGTTTGGTAGCTTTGGGTGCCGGTTAGCAGTACCCTGCCTGGGACTACCTGAGCGCGAGTCCTCTTAAAGTAAACGCTCGGGACCCTGGGAAACCCCTGGGGGCGCGCGGGTCCGATGGATGTGACCCCAGAGCCCCCCCCTCGCTTCCAGCGAGTTTGAGGGTTGCTCTCACCTTTTGTCTCTGGGTGACTCTCTGTTTTGCCTCCGTCTGCTGCCTGTGGGGTCGGTGACACCTTCGACCCGGAGTCCTGCGAGTTTGGTTGCTCGTTGTGGCTCGGTTACCCAGTTGTGCTAACACAGCGGGTGCGGGCAGCAGGGGCGTTGCACTTGAACCTTGGTGGTGGCAACGTTCTCGTGGTTTCCTCCCCGGGAGCCCCGAGGCTGCCCCGTTGTAGTTCGTTTTGGGACTTGGGGGTGTTGGCTGCTTCGGTTCCATCCATGCCCCCTTGTCTTTTCCCCTGGTTCACCCTGCCTGCATCCGGTTCCTTACGGTCTGTTGGTTCGGGGCGGGGTTTTTGGTGGTGTTGAGACTCGGGCAGTCTCGGGGAATTCCCCTTCCGGGGTAGTGACGGGGGCATTTGGGCCTGTTCCTCCAGCCGTGTTGTATGAGTCTGCCAGTGGGCTCCCTTCCTTAGTGTTTTCACGGCTGCCCCGGTTTTCTGGTACGGCCGGGGCTTTGGGGGCACGGCTCGGCCCCGGGGCCTGTCGTGTAGGTTCCCGGGGCTGGGGAGGGGCTGACTTGGGGGGGCCTTGGCCCCGTTAGACCCCGTGGGGGTTTTTATCCCCCTCTAGGCGGGGCTTGTGGTTACGCGGAGTGGGGTCTTTCCTCCCCACTCGCCGTACGTGCTGTTGGACGTCGGCCCCTCCCCGGGCTCGGTTCCTTGGCCTTTGAGTCGGTTGGTTCCGTCCTGTGGGTGGATGTTTCCTCTCCCCCCCTTTTTGGGACGGTGTTTTTGTCATGTTTCCCCGTTCGGTGGGGTTCTGCGTGACTTCTGATCTCGGGTGCGCCTGCGCCTTCGTGTGCCTTCGGGACTAGTGTTGGCTTCTGTGTTCTCGAGGGTACGGGAAGGTTTTTCGCTACTTCCCGCATTATTGGAACGTCTGTCGGCTCCTCGTACTTGTCGCCCTGTTGGGCTACTTGTCGCCCTGTTGGGCTACTTGTCGCCCTGTTGGGCTACTTGTCGCCCTGTTGGGCTACTTGTCGCCCTGTTGGGCTACTTGTCGCCCTGTTGGGCTACTTGTCGCCCTGTTGGGCTACTTGTCGCCCTGTTGGGCTACTTGTCGCCCGGTTGGGCTACTTGTCGCCCGGTTGGGCTACTTGTCGCCCGGTTGGGCTACTTGTCGCCCGGTTGGGCTACTTGTCGCCCGGTTGGGCTACTTGTCGCCCGGTTGGGCTACTTGTCGCCCGGTTGGGCTGCTTGTCGCCCGGTTGGGCTGCTTGTCGCCCGGTTGGGCTGCTTGTCGCCAGGTTGGGCTGCTTGTCGCCCGGTTGGGCTGCGTGTCGCCCGGTTGGGCTGCTTGTCGCCCGGTTGGGCTGCTTGTCGCCCGGTTGGGCTGCTTGTCGCCCGGTTGGATTCCTTTTGGGGCTCTTTGCTTCTTTGGCCGGTTTTCTTGTTCCTGCTTCCTCTTTTGGCTTCTTTTTCTCGTGCAGTAGTCCTGGCTGGCGCCTTCCCGCAGGGAGGGTGTGCGGTTCGGCCAGCGTGTTATGCGCATGCGCCGTGGAGTTTGTTTTGGTCTGGGCGGTGTTTCAGTGCTGGGGTTTTGCGCCCTTTTTTGCTACAGTGCTTCGCCTCTCGTTCTTCTCCCTGGCTGCGGTATGTGCCCCTTCGCGCCGGGGGTGTCCTGGTTCCCTGTTGTGGGGAGGACACCGCGGTTTTCCCTGTCATGGGTGTGGACCGCCTCCTTCGCCTCTCCCTGTTCTCCTGCGGGTCCGGCAGGGTCCGGCTCTGGCGTCTTCACCTGGCGGTGCTCTCAAGTTCTTCTGGGCACGGTTGAGTCGTGTCAAGTTCGTGCCACCATTCGCCAGGTGAGTTACTGCAGTCTGGCGTCTTTTGGCCGGGCGCTGGATGCGGCGGTGTTTCTATACCTGTCTTTATTTAGGTATATTTTGTACGACTGAGACCGTTCGCACACCAGTGACTGTCCCTTATCACCCCTTCCTGTCCCCCCTCATGTGCATGTCCAACCCATGCTGGTGTCCTTCAGGGGACCCTCCCTTTTTAATGTTGTGAGGTGTGGGGGTTGTAGGGTTGGTTCTGTACTCACCTGGTGAGGCTCCTGGCTGTGCTTGCAGGATTTGAGCTCTGGCTCTTGGGTCCCGCCTATCTGGTGGAACTTGCGGGATAGTACCAGTGGAGTGCAGTGGTGCTATTGGCACTTTTGGGGGACACTGTATTACCATCAGTGGTCTGTGCTTGTTACACGACCTACTTGCGAGCATAAGCCTTCTTGCTGGTTCGTCCGTGGATTTCCGGGGCGCACTGGCCTGTTTTCGTATGGCAGTTCCGGCCCGTCCTGGTTGTGGGGGTATGTGGGCCGGTAGACTGCTCCTAGCAGCTGCCTGGTGGGCCATCCTCTGGCCGGTCTGGCCTAGCCTTGGACCGGGCTTCAGGTGTAAAAGAGCTCCCAGTACCTCATCCAGCAGGTATCGAGCGGGGTTTCTCCGCCGTCGGTCGCCTGGTGCAGGTTTCTGGGCCTGCAAAGGTTTTTGTAGTGTCTCCGTTGGCCCTGTCTGGGGTCTGCCTGCTCCGTTCTCTGCCTTTGCAGAGGGGAGTTGCTATTTACAAGTTGCTGCTGCTGCTGCACGTGTGCATTGGTACCGTGTTTCACGGTGGCGTGTCCTTGTTCCTGTGTCCGGTTGTGGAGTGGCACTTTGCTGCCGTTTTGTGCCTGGGGATTGCGTGCGGTTTTTGTCCCTGCTCTGATTGTCCACCCCTGGTTGTTCTCCTGGGGTTTTTGTGCTTCTGCTCTTTCTTCCTGCCTCCTCTGCAGCAGGGATGTTCTGCGTGTCTTCTTAGGCGTTGGTCAGCCTGTGTCCTGTGATGTGCTTATTTGTCTCGGTCTATTGCAGTTGTTCGTACCCCTTGGTTCGGGTCCTGTTCTGGCGGCGACCCTTCCGCCTTCTTTGGTTTTCCTGCCCTGCCGGTTGTTTTTTTTTTTTTTTGGGGGGGGGTTCTTGCGATGTCTCGCGTCGGACCCGTCGTTTCTGAACTCCTGGCGGGCTTGCATGCTTTAGGGAGTTTTTCTGTTCGGCAGACGTTCCATCTCCTTGTGCCGCCTGGGTTTCGGTGGTCGCGCCCGAGATCTTCTCGCGGCTCCGCCTTTTTCCTGGGCTCGGGGGGGGGGGGCCTTGTCAGGGCTGCTTAAGTTCTGCCTTGTGGTCTTGCCTCCGGTTGGTGGTCGGGTGGCTTCGTGGTAGGTGTCCCACCTGCGTGCTTCTCTTGGCGGCGGTATGGGGTATTTTGGCGGTCCTTCCTTTTCCTGTCCCTTCTTAGGTGGTTACTCTTGTTGGCTTGGTTTACTCTCGGCTTGGTTTTCTAGTGGGGGTTGGGGGCCGTCGTCTTGCCACATACTGTCGCCTCTTTTCGTGCGGCGCAGGCGGAGCCGCTTCAGCTTGCTTTCGGTCTTGGTGTTGCTTCTGCACCGTTAGTCAGCTGTCTTGTGCGTCGTTTCACCTCCGGCCTGTTCGTGCGCCGCTTGCACCATCCTGGTCTCTGGTCAGCGTGCTCTGTCTTCTCCTCGGTTGGTAGTGCCCCTTCGGTTCCGGTGTGTTTTTTCGTCGGCTCTTTCCTTTGGGCCTTTGCCTCTGGGGGTCGGTTCGCTGAGTTTTCTTGCTCCTTCGGTTTTAGCGTTTTGGTTGTTTGATGGCAGCAGTCTCCATCTTTTCTGGCGCGGGGTGGGGCTGCTGCATTCTGGAGGGGTCCAGGGTTTGTTGGTGCTTCGTTGGTCGGGCCGGGGGTGTCGTTTGTGTGTTCAGTGGCGGCCCTCCGCTGTTGTTTGCGTGCCACGGCGTTTGGGTCCGGAGCGCGTTTTGCGTTGATCCAGTTCTGTTCTTCCCGGTTCGCGGGTGATGGTGTCCCAGGTGGTCAGCCGTGTTCTTGCGGCTAAGCTGCCTGTGTTCTTCCCTCATGCCTGTGGCGTTCGTGGCTTCGCTGCTCTCGCTGCCATCTGGGCGACGTGGCCTTGCAGTCTTTCGGGCATGGATTTTTGGTGTTCGTGCAGGGGCCTTGCTGCTCGTGGTTCTCGTGTTGTTCCCAGGATTTTCGGGGCTGTGGCGCCTTGGGTTGGCATTTGCTGCCAGTTGTCTCGCCTCCTTGGGGGGTGCGTGGTGTCCGCCTCCCGGTTTTGTCCCTTTGACCTTCCTCTGTGGGTAGTTAGCTCCGGGGAGCCGACGGGGCTCCCCCCAGAAAACCAGCGTTGAATGTAATGAAACGCCATTTTCTGGGTGAGACCCGGAGGCTCCCCGGCAACCCTCCCTCCCTCCGGTCGGCGTTTTTCGCGTGTTTTGACATCCAGCCTCAGAACTGGTGGGTGGATAGCCGGCGTGGGAGGTCTGGGGCTCCCCCTTCCCCCTCCTGGGGAGGGGGGAGCTGCGCAGACAGCGGCGCGGTGACGTATGACGTCATACTAGTTTCCTTGTTTTCTGTTGAAGAGTTCTATCCACTAGTTCGGCTTAGGTAGCAATTTTCACCAGAATAGGGGTTTGTTTTGGAATTTTTATTCAATTTATATCTAAATTAACACTATTTTTAGTCATAATTTTGATTTTTTTTTTTACAATCTTATGTTTATCCAGTGGGTTTGCTGTTTTTCTGAGCTATTCTGCTTGGGTGGTCCTGAATACAAGGTCGCTAAAGTCCCTATAGGACTAGAATCATGACAATCCAGCATTCTTTCTGTTGAATTTAGGGTCAGCACTTTCCTGAGGTGTGTTCATTCCTCCATATGTGGGCTTTGATCCTCCACCTCTCAACCTTTAATTGACCGGTGTATGTGTTCCAGAGTCTATTGAGCTCTTGTTATAGTGTATCTACATTTAAAGTTGTGTATAGTGTTTGCCTCCACCACGTCACTTAATATATTCCATTTGTTCAATGTCCTGAAACATCAGTGTTGATGGACTTCGTTTTCAGCTTGCACAGAGGCTTTGCTGGATTCTCTCTTTGGAAGCAGATTTAGGTTGTCTGGTTCAGATGTCTTGCAGATCAAGTCTTCAGGATTGAAAAGGCACTGATCAAGCTCTGTTTTTGAGTGCTCCAGCTGCTGATGCTTCAGCCTTCCTTAGGTGGACATCTTTTTCTTGGCAAGGAACTACCAAATGCTTTTTTGTTGCTCTGTTGCCTGATCATAGAGCATTTACAATGGACACTTTTCACATGGATTGGAATTGATGGGATTTCCTTTAGCTCTTTTCCCTGATCCAGCTCCTCCTGTGTTTATCATATTGCAGACATTTGAGAGTCGTGCCATTCTGCTAGCTCTGTTGTTAGTTCAACCCTGGTTCTCAGCCCTTCTCTTTCATTGTCCTGTCCTCTACCATTCCTGGGATTTTGCCTCTCTCAGATGATTGATTGTCCAATGTACCTGAAGGGTTAAAGTCTATCCACCTACCTTTGCATATGGAGTTTTTCAGCTGTTTGGGAACATCAGGAAACAGTTCTTTTTGTGTTGCATTTGCATCCTTTCTGGCACCAGTGAGGGATAGCTTGGCAGTATTTCCTTTCTTTTCATCAGTTACCAGTGTTTTTGAGAGTAGTTATGTCCTGTCCTGTTATTTTATTCCCAATACTGTACTGTTGCCTCTTACCACTCTACTTTAGTAGAGCCTCTCTTGTTTCCTTTTGGGATTTTTTTTTGTTATTATTTAGGTTGTCCAGAGCCTGTTTCTCTTGAGCATACTTTGTCCTTGGATTGGGTCTTTGCCTTTTTGTCCTTGCCTCAATTCTTTGTGTACCCTCAGCTGAAGATTTCTATATCAAGGTGGCTTTCTTGTTGACTCTGGCTTCTGGTAGTCACAGTTGCGAATAATATTTCATGTTATTCGTTACAAGAAGACGTGCCTCCTCTAATCATCCTAATGTGAACAAAACTTATCGGGTTGGTTTTTGTATTTATATTAGAATTCATATAAATATTGCATTTTCATTATTATACATATTTTAATCCCTGACTATTAATTTGTAGAAAAGAATCAGGAATTTTTTAATTATTTAATTTTTATTTTAATTAACAGAGAGAGAAAAATGCTGTCACCACCTGCCATCCTAAAAAGAAGTTGCGATTGGACAATCCTAAAGAAGATAAAGAAGCTAAGCGGATTTTCCGAGAAGCCGAGAAACAGAGACGGGCTACTGAAAAAGCCGAGGCCAAGGCTCAGAAAGAGGCAGAGAAAGCCTCCAAACGTGCCATGAAGCCTGGAGAATGCATGAAGGTGAGAGGAAGTTGTTGGTGTTGTCCAGTGTAGGTTGTACATCTGCTGTATCATAATTCTTAACTTGGCCAGTACGTCTTGTAGGTCAGAATTCAGCAGCGTTATTTAATTCATTCTCATTTTATTTTTTATTTCCTTTATCTTTAATCTAATGTTACAATAATTTTTGGATGTTTTCTGTTAATTTCCAAACCCTTAATTTTGTCTTTTAATGCATCTATGAGTTAGATAAGTGATTGTAAGAAAAAAGCACTGTACATAATTGTACTAAGAATTCTCTATGGGATTTGTCATTTGAACTTCCAAATGTTCCTCAATACATTCCCTTCTTTGTATCTAACTTATTGACAGTCACTCTGCACAAGGATCTTTCTTCTTGTAACTGATTATTTATAGGAGCATAAGCACACACTAGGGTATATTCATTTACTGTATTGATTCATATTGGCTTGACAGATTATTAAGTGAGCAGTGTAAAATGTATAATTTTTCATTGGTTTTATATCACTAGCACGTGATAGTTCAGCTAGATCGTCAACTCTTAGAACTTGCAGAAGGAAGTCAAGTCATCAGCCATTTACAAACTGCAGAAGTTCGCTACCGAGTTATCGATTCCCCCGTACCGACGACAGTGACAATATTGAGGGTTGATCCACTCACTCTTCAGGTCTGTTTATTTTAGGTATTATCACTTCATTTCACAAATTGTTAATAGTTTAGTTATTATGGTGTGAGTAATATTACGAGTAAAGACGAGTAAATGACGCCTGTAGTATTTCCATAATATTATGGAAATACTACTGTTATCTACTCTGAGGAGGGTACCCTCATAGATACTGACATAGAGGAACCACAAGACAGAGTACTGTATGTTGTGTAGAATATAGTAACCAGACTCGGGTCACTGTTAAAAACCTCAAAAATCCTTTGACTCATTCTTGGTCATAAATGAAAGGTTATGCTGAAAAAATACAAAGGCGTCACCATGGGCAAAAGAATGAAGTGGACCTTGTCCCAATGAGTCATTGTTGCTGAGGAGAGACAGGACAAATTTTGAGGTGGAGTGAGATGGCAGTGTTGTGTGAGGTAATATCACCTGCTGATGGACAGTACTCGCCTAGCTGTACTCACCTAGTTGTGCTTGTGAGGGGTTGAGCTCTGGTTCTTTGGTCCTGCCTCTCAACTGTCAATCAACTGGGGTACTACCACTACAACATCTGTACACAAGTGATTGTTTGATAATTTGCCAGAGCACAGCTGATGATCTCTGCTACCAAGTTGCACTAGGATAAGTTTTTTGTTTTTTTGTGGTAAGCAGTTACATTTTTTGTCTGAATTTTTTAGCTGGAGTGAGTGTGTCCAGTGTGTCCTTAGCACCAGTATGACTTGATAGGTAGAGGTTGAGGGGTTTGCACCAGGTTGGGGTGTATTATTGACCTTTGACTATTCCTAATTTTACCTTGAGGTGAATAGGCTCTTGCCTCAGGAAGTGCCAAGTGTATTACTCAAAAGTTTTTTTTTTACAAACCCAGAGATAGATTTGCTGTAATAAATGTCACACTTAATGCTTAAATTGCATTTAAAGTTCCAGAACAGAGCAAAACATCACTAATTTCCTTTCTTTTTCATAGGTGTTGGTTGTGTTGTTAATTTTCATATCATGATCTATTTTCTGCAGTATTATAAATGTTTATTACTCACTTTAATATTTGTTTAATTGTTATTACTGATATATGAATTTGTTATTATATGTTTATAGGTATTTATCCTTACAGGAAACACAAGCAGAAGAAGCAGTGGTTGTAATTCCTATAAGTGATTTTATTGAACTAATTAAACAGCAAGTGTATGAAGATGGTATGGAGGGCCTGTGTCATCAGTGCCGCCTCTGGAAAAGAAAACTCAACGGGGCAAATTTGACACTTGTTGTCTGTAGCGTTGATGAATATTTAAGGTTAGTTTATATGTTACGTTCAAGGCTGATAACCTTTGGGAGTTAAGCTTTTATTGTATTTTGTTTCCAACTTTATAATGAAATTTCTAGCATTTTTAATGTTTAAATATTGATTTATGTGATACAAACGGTATCAAAGAAGTCTTGCAATCACAGCCCATTGAGAGTGATATTCCAATATATCTTGCAGTACTGCACAAACATCACTGTTGGTGCAGTCTTCCTAAAAGCAAAAAGGCCAACCTGTCCTTTTTCTATATAGTACGCATATTTGATATGAACATACATATGGAGAGCATATGTATTTATATGAACATACATATGGAGAGCATATGTATTTATATAAACTTATATACATCTTTCTCTACCTCTTCTTTGCTTGTTAATAGTTTGCTGTCCCCCATCCAACATTTATTTCTGAGCTCTCTCACTCGGTAGATCCCTAGGCCTTGATCCTACTTGCCTCTGGATGGGTTTTGCAACAGTTGGAACAGGTCATCATTCTCCATCAACCCAGCAGGAAATATTTCAAACTATTCTTGTCAGATCATACTGGAGCTTGTGTGATACTGTAAAATATTCTTAATTAAGCCCAGGGTGTAGACAGCACATTAACAAAAACTCTTAAGTTGTTGTTCATTGACATTTTGCAGGGATATTTTGCAGGGATATTTTGCAGGGATATTTTGCAGGGATATTTTGCAGGGATATTTTGCAGGGATATTTTGCAGGGATATTTTATTCATATTCCATTTTTTCCATCTACTCTTGTTTATCACCTTCACATGTCTTCATTCTTCTTTAATTTTCTTTTCAAACCTTTTTCACTGTTTCTCACACCTCTGCAAGAGCTTATTTTAAAGGCTTGCAAGTTAATGAGAATAGATTGAGACTTGAATACTATACTATAATTCAGCTTTATTCAGCTCTGTTCTCTACATACTACTGAAATAATACAAAGCAATTGTTTGCAGTGATTGGGTACTGTAGCAGTAGTGAGTAATTGGGTAGTTAGTAACAGTGTTAAGTGAGGCCATTCCTTCATGATCAGTTCCTAGTAGATTTGCATGACCACAATATAAAGGTATTAGTGTTTAGTTCGGTGAATAAACTTTTGTTAACCATTTAGTCCATTTTAGTGAAGCCTTCTCCCATAAGACACATTACAACTCCTTAATGATATCCTAAAATGTTGTTAGCACTATCATATAAATTCTTACTGTTCTTTCTGCCCAAGAACTGTTTGGGAGAACACATGACCCAGTAAAATAACTAACTTTGGAATACTTGTCTGAGGTAGGCCATCATTACCTGAGGCCCATATCTCATTGAGCTGCCTTTGGTAAGTGTACCACTGCTCTGGCAAATACTGTTTAAGGTAGCACCTGCTAGCAGTCTACCATAGGTAACATTGCAGGTGGAGGTAGTCTAAACCCAGTACAATTCTACAATCACTGCCATGATACATGAACATACATTTTTGGGGGTATATGTATGTAGTAGAAAAATGTCATAGATAAATATGATTAGATTTCACCAACTAGAATATTATTATAATTCATTATATAGTATTATTATTATCATACTTCTAATATGAAACATTTTTTAAACTTCAGAAGTCAAAAGACTGGTAAGCAACAAAACTTCAGGTCTGCTGTATTGGGACAAACTACAAAGCCAGCAAAAGGGAGGAAAAAAAAATCTGGTAGTGAATTTCCCACACTTGCCACAACTTCTGTGAGTAGGTAAAGTACGATAAACATGCAACTCATAATATGCTCTGCTAATCTTCATATTTTATTTGTAAACATTATTCAAAACAATGTATTTATAGAGTACTAGCAAATGTAATGTACTACAAATTGCAAAATCGACTTTGTTTATGATATATTTTGTTTATGATATATTTTTGAGAAATTCAGACCCTATTGCAAGGGCAGTCATGTTTTTCTTGTAATTACCTCAGTGTAGGTACAGGATGAGAGCTATGCTCATGGTGTCCCATCTTCCCAGCACTCTGTCATATAACACATTTTAAAACTACTGACAGTTTTGGCCTCTACCACTTCTCACTGGTAGAGGCCAAAACTTATTCCAACCATTAACTACTGTTTGCTGCAAAAGTGAACCTTCTGATGTTTTTTTGGAAACTTTGTTTCCTTTGTTTGAATCTATGTTCTCTTGTTCTTGCAGCTGATTTTTTTTTTTTTTTCAAAAATTCTTTTCTGGGGGTAGCTCCTTCGGCTCCTTGGAGCTTACTAGGCTGATATGCTAATGTCGGACTTTGGCATAAGTCATGTGTGTGGAGTTCTGTGGGCCTACCAGGGACTACAAGCCAGAACCTGGCCCCCTCAGAGAGGCATGGAGAGTAATGGCCATGAGCGTAGCTCTCATCCTGTAACTACACCTAGGTATTTACATGCAAAAATAGTCAATACAAAAATTAAAGTTGACCAATAACTCTGTGTGGTGCATAATATCTTAAAATTTATTAATTTCTTTCAGAGTTGACATAGAGACTGCACTTGTGACTGCACAGTTGGAGTGTGGTCTCAATCATAGATTACTGGAAGATGCAAATAAAGTAGCTAGCTTTATCTTGCAAGTTACCAAAGCTGTTGCTGAAACACCTTTCAAGTAAATTTTCCTCTTGTTTGCTTTTGTTGTACATTTGGTAAGGTGAGTCTTGCAAGACTTGGTTATAGGCCCAGTGCTGTTTCTAATGTCTGTGAATGACAGTTTAGTGTGTGAGCTTATGCTTGTCAATGTTTATAGATAACACTAAGTTAAGGAGAGAAGTAAAATCTGAGGAGGACTGTAAAGTACTATAGCATATATTTGTGTAAGAATGACATTTAAAAATGTGAACAAGGATTTTTAACACTCCATATGAGAAATAATGCATAGATCAAATCGATGAACTAAGGGTCAGGAGTTTATCTTGCAACAACTGTGTCAGTGGCTGGATTTGAGTCCTGGGTAAGAAAGTATGCTTATGCACTGTTCCTCAACTGTTGGCTCCTATTCTCCCAGCAGTAATTGAGTACCTGGTTGTAAACCGAATGGCTGAAAGTATCCAACATGCAGTCCTCCTCTTTTTGCCTATTTCCCTCTGGTACTAGACCTGCCCAAGTCAAGCATGTAGTAACATGATTAAATTAGTTCCTTCTAGCAAGATGATATTCACAGTAGTGTGAAACTACATAACGTATTGAAATGGAAGGATTATATCTGGGAGTTGATTGTGCTATTTAGTTTGAGTACTTTCAACAAATGGGTAGAAGGTGGATGGTCTTCCACACCTTTGTGGATTTTTGGTGAATTAAAAAGTTTCATTTCATTTGAAGAGGTTGTTGGTTCAGTACTGTAACGTGTTTGACTCGTCATCATAAATGTCCAAGTGCAATTTTGATTTGTAATTTTAACTTTTTTGTGGGCATCATCTTAATATTGACTCAGAACATGAACCACAAAGAGGCTATTAACTCGTCACCTTTGAGGATATTCTGTATCAGATAACTTTAAATTTCAAAGCTTATATAGATGTAGTGTGTACATGAAAAATGTTGATTGATGGATCAATGAAAGTTCTTGCCTTTGCCGGCTGTCCAGAAATGTGTTGTCAGTAATTTTATTTTGCCCTACAGACGTGAGAAAGGAGAAACAACATTTTCATGGTATGCTGAAGGTAACAATACCAACACTGTGAAGATAGATAGATCAGGAGTTGGGTTATTAAAGCTCTGGCACCAACAGCTTCGACAGTTTAACAATGTTGGAGTAGAAGTCGCTCAGGCTATTGCTCGGGAACACCCCTCTCCTCAAATATTACTCGAGGTAAGACAAAGCTGTTGACAATTTAATAAATTAAATTCTATGTAAAGTACTGTACTCCTGCTCAAATGGAACATTTTTTCTTAAGAATTTTGGTTGCAGCAGATGCTTTTACTTCCATTACAAAATATTGATGACATCAGGTCATCAATGCAGATTGATGACCTGATGTCAATGTACAATGGCAATTTTTATTAATTTAAATGTTGCATGAAATATACCTGAATATGTACTTTATTAAAGATACTGTACTCCTACTTGAGTAAATATTAAAACAAAATTCACCATTGAATGTAATGAAAACCTCCTCATTCTTGGTAGAGCCCCAGTGGCTCCTTGAAGCTATCTTGCTGATGTTACTCCACCTAAAGGGTCAAATCAGTCTCAGTTCTGTTTGGTCTATCAGAGACCAGAGCTAGAACTGCAGCAGAGAGAGCAAGTGACAATTCACCACCACCACCACTGGGAAAGAATCCAGAAAGTCAACAAACCTTTACAGACAGCTAGAGGGTTAACAGAAAACAGTCTCGAAACTGTCAAACAGCTCTGCAAATATTTGAAACAAAACATTAGTCACTTAGTACTAGCCAGTTCAAGCTAGTTTTGATAGTTGCCACCAGGCAGTCCAGCCCACAGCCGAATACACTGATCAATTCTGAAGCTGACGAACAACCCACCGATGAAGTTGGAGGGAATCAGAGTTCTGATTTGTAGAACCCAGGTAGAACTTGGGTTCTAACAGCAAGAGGTATTTCATTATATTGAATGCTGAGCTTCTAGGGAAGCACCCCAGTAGCTCCCTGAAGCTTTAGGGAGACCAAAAACTCAGGACTCACCAGGGAAGCGGAGAGGTGGCAGATACTAAGACAAAGGAGAGAATCCAGGCTGACACACAACCCAGGGCAACACATGACTGGGACCAGAAACATTAATCAAATATCAGGCCACCAGAACCCTGTTAAAAGCCCAAACCCTAGCCTGAATATCAACCTAGGATATGTTGGAAATGACCGCTACCAAGGTGGCATACTTGTGAACTTCCTGGGACCAAAGGTAGACTGCAGGCTGACTACACTTCATGACACTGCAGACAACCTGAAAAATGCGAGCCTTGGAACAGGGTACCAAGTAAACCAGATGAACCCACAATGTGTCAATCCAAGCATAATTGGCAGCCTGTAAATAACAGCAAAGCTCTGCCACCAGACACACCAGGTGATGCACCAGCATATGGAACAATTAAGCATTAATAACCAAAGGATCTCTCTGGAAATTAACTGTCTCATTCCTTGACAGAAAAGGAGAAGATTGCAAACAAAATGCCCACTAGGGCCAAAAGAACAAAACCTCTATTCCCCCCCCACCTCCCCTACAGAGGAGCATGAAGATTGCCTACACGGCAGCGAGGGCCAACAAGGACACTGCCTCGAGAAAAACATCATGAGCCAAAGAGGAAACCTTGAATTAAGGCAAGGAAAGAAACACCAAAACCCTGTCACGAGACCAGAATGACACGGAAGGAACATGAGCAGGTCGAAGGTGAAAAAATGTATGAGACAACCTGAAGAACAGCATCAAAGTAGTATTGATACTGAACGCAAGCAACAGCCGTGTCACAAGCGTCGGATGATGTGAGGTGACAGTATTAGGCATGAGATGCTGGTCAAGAAATATCAGAAGACAAAAAGAACAGGACCACCCTGACCAAGACTAAAGGAAGATAACGAAGAGTTGGAAAAAAAAACAAAATGAGTGCCGGCAATCTCATACTGCTGTCATAAAGAAAGATACCTTATGTATCTTTCACTGTACAGTACTTCCATGTGTCATGTGAGCCCATGCTAAAAAAAAACACTGGAAAAAACCTGAAAAACAGGTTAGAAAATAAACAGGATTGCTTGAAGATGTGCAAACATATCCTTATGCTAAGCACTGCTTATAAGCTGAGCCTTAAGTACAGTACTTAAAAGGTATCTCCCACCTGCTGACATGGGATGTAGCCAGGAGTTTATATGAAGGGACTCGAGTGTGGCATTTGGAGGTGTGTGTATGGTGTTGTCACCTGATGGCAGTTGGTGCAGGTAACCTTTAGTAGCTTACCTGTAGGCTTGTTTTCAATATATATATACAGTATATAAATTATTTTAGATCCAAATACTTACGATCATGAACTTTGTTTACAGTCATACAGGAAATGCCAAACGTTCCGAGAAGCATCACTGCTGCTTGCAGATATCCCTGTTCGACGGGGAGCTGGTCCTCTTGCATCCACAAGGAGAATTGGTCCAGAACTCTCTAAGAAGATTCATTTATTTTTTACAACAACAGATCCAGAAGCAAATCTAGCACAAACATGAATCTTGGAGAAATGGTGGCTGCATATGCACTTCAGTCAATAAATATTTTTAAGTTACTTACTTTATCCTTTACCTTGAAAGTACAATACATGTTCCTGTAGTGCAATCAAAATTAAGGAATGTGTGTTCCTGGTGTGCTGAAAATTTAGCTGGGTCATTGTGTAATCTTCAGAATTTTGTTTACATCTACATATATTGTCTGATCAGACAGTAACAATGAGTATAAGGTTTCGGTAATACAGTTGGGTTTATTCTAGCTTCTTGATTTTGAATCTCCAGGTGGTTCTTGAGATGATTTCGGGGCTTTAGTGTCCCCGCGGCCCGGTCCTCGACCAGACCTCCACCCCCAGGAAGCAGTCCGTGACAACTGACTAACACCCAGGTACCTATTTTACTGCTAGGTAACAGGGTCATAGCGTGAAAGAAACTCTGCCCATTGTTTCTCGCCGGCGCCTGGGATTGAACCCAGGACCACAGGATCACAAGTCCAGCACGCTGTCCGCTCGGCCAACCGGCTCCCACAGGTGGGACAGAAAACGTTAGTCATGTATCCTATCATTGAATGCCTCTGTTCACCTAGCAGTAAATAGGTACCTGGGAGTTATTCAGCTTGTTGCAAGGTTGCATCCTGGAAAGGGTCAGTGATGTGACCTTGGGAGGACCTCGATATAAACCTAATGTATATTATACAGACTGTCTGTCCCCAACAAAATGAATTGGTAAAAAGAGGAGAGGTGTCAGGAATTTGTAATTACCTAAAATATAGTTACAGGATGTGAGCAATGTTTGTGTTGATATATTTTTATTATATACACTATACAGCACTGGTTCTTTATATCTCGTCATTGTATTTTGAATTATGTTCTTGTTACATTGACTAGTGAATCCTGTAGTGTTGAATTTTTCTATAGGATCTGCACCAAGAGGAGGGGGTGGGTGGGATAGGATGCCAGGCACTTCTGAACCATCACATGAGCAGCTAAAAAGCACAGAAATGGAGAATAGGCAGCATCCTTCTAATTGTGAAGCAAAGACTCAAGCTGACTGGACCAGGACAGTCATGTTCTTTTCAAAAAGGAAGAGAGTTTATGTGCTAGGACAAAGTTCCAAAGAACTATAAATATAGGAAAAAACACGAATATCACCTGCCGAGACCCTAACTGAACCTAATCAGAGAAGATAACACTGGAAAATGGTTGGTTACAGAGTTTAGAGATGCAATGAGTATATATGAACATGGGCATATAATAATAGCATGGGGTCCATTGTACACCTGGTAGGGGTTGAGCATTGGCTCTTTGATAGTCACACACACAGGAGTATGCAGCCCCAGCATGGAGTCTATATCTAGTCAAGGATAAGACCAAACTGGAAAAGGTTCAAAGGTTTGCCACCAGACTAGTACCCGAGCTGAGAGGTATGAGCTACGAGGAGAGACTACGGGAATTAAACCTCACTTCGCTGGAAGACAGAAGAGTTAGGGGGGACATGATCACCACATTCAAGATTCTGAAGGGAATTGATAGGGTAGATAAAGACAGTCTATTTAACACAAGGGGGACACACTAGGGGATACAGGTAAAAACTGAGTGCCCAAATGAGCCACAGAGATATTAGAAATTACTTTTTTAGTGTCAGAGTGGTTGACAAATGGAATGCATTAGTAAGTGATGTGGTCCACCACATCACTTGAGAGACTCCATACACAGTTTCAAGTGTAGATATGATAGAGCCCAATAAGCTCAGGAATCTGTACACCTGTTGATTGACGGTTGAGAGGTGGGACCAAAGAGCCAGAGCTCAACCCCCGCAAGCACAATTAGGTGAGTACACACACGTGCGCGCGCACGGCTGGGTGCAGTAATATACGTGTGCGCGCACGGCTGGGTGCAGTAATAACCCCAACGTTTGTGGCTTTCTAATAAAATATTAAGGTAAAACATCACAAACTATAAGTGTGTGTCACACCAGTAGAGAAGACTAACTATTTTACTCAGTAGTGCACTTTAATTTTTGACACCACTTCATATATTGACAGAAGAATACACATTCCATCACTGTTTGGTACATCAAACATGTACAGTACTGGGATATTAATGTCCCATTGTCAGGGACAAGCAGCATGTACTTGGGGGAAGGGGAGGTGGGAGAACATAATGAGCTTAACTACTGACCTTCCCCAGGATGCAACCCACAACAGCTGCCTTACTCCTTGGTAGCCATGTACTGCTAGGTGAACAGAAGAATCAAGTGAAAGGAAACACGAAACGCTGTGCATATTAGTGGCTTTAGGTACTGTATGTGCTAGTTCTATCTATAAATCCAACATTATGTTTGTAACTCATCTTCCAAGTATGTACTTTTACCTGAATAAACATTTTGAATTTGAATTTTTTTGAAAACTATTTCTGTTGTAACGGTTCTATTGTTACGTAAAGTATGGTGATAATAAACACAGACACTAAGATACTATATATATATTTGGTCGAATATACAGAAGTACACAGGTGATACTTTGGTGTGAGTTGAGCGCACTGAGCGTCGGTACAGTATCTCGCAAGTGTCTGCTCTAGACCACACTTGAAAGTAGACTCTGGTTAATGTTTGCTATTCTGCTGCTTATATGCTCGGGCAACACCTCACCGTGTTGCCCGGGCAACGCCTCACCTCATTCATCTCCAAAGGTTGACAGGAATATTAACAATGCATTTGGAGCGAGTATATTATTGGGATAATATACTCGCGAGTATATTATTGGGATAATATACTCGCTACACTGTCCTAACTGGAGACTGAACACAGGAGTTTTGAGTATAAGTTGAATGTAATGCACTACTGTACTGTATTACAGAACCAAACTGGTTGATTAATTTCAAATTTATCAAAGTATGTCAGGTGTGTGTTTGCTGCTGGGATGCTCTACCATGCTAACTGCTCATGCTGCAGAATTTGCTCTGAGATGGATAAATAGTTAAGTCAACCCATCATGTATATCCTGGTTTGGATGTTATAGGTATTAGTATTAATTATTTATATGTTTTGGCACTAATATAGATTCTAAAACGAGTTAAGGTGGGACCTGAACAGCGAGTAACGGAAGTGTAGGGTCAGTGACGAAGGGAGGGAGGGGTAGCAGCAGTGAGAGAGAAAGTAAGATTTAGCGAGGACCTAACTATTGGGACCGTCTCAAAGCTCTCAACAACTCTATATTAACAAGTAGAATACGTATTTCTAATAATATCTAACATAACTAGCCAGAAAATATTTAAGACTTATTGAAAAATACATGTCTGGAAGTTAAATCGACTTCATAGAACAATAGTGTTGGTCTATACTAATCGTTATTCGTTAGTATGCGTTCGCTACTTAAAACATTTACTGTACTGATGTAAAATCTCCCATGTCTCTTCGCACATGGAACACCGAACCTTACACACTCTCTGATATATTGTTTAATTAATAGAGATTCACTAATAAAGCTTATAATTGTATATGTTATCAAAAAGGCATAGATAAAGTCGTTCTTACGTTTTAGTCACAGAGATTAGATATTAGTAAAGTAAAGTTCATTTTATTCAGGAAAGTACATAAATAGTCGATTTACAAACATAATATTGGATTTATAGATAGAGCTAGTACATACAATACCTAAAGCCACTAGTACGCATAGCGTTTCGGGCATATTATTGAGAGAGGAAAGATATTTATATTTAAACAATTTTTTTTTTTTTTACCGACGCTCTCCCTATTGATGAGAACTACAACCTAATGAAGATAAATGTTAATTTTATGTAGATACTGTAATAAACGAAAGTTTTTAATGTCATCAGAGAAGCAGAAATATAGGCAAATTTTAAATCCCTTGTCATAAATATAACTGAAGTGAAAGCAAAGATATATGCATTTTTATAGTTACAAAGACAGCTCTTTAACACGGGTGGAACACGAACAAGGGGAACTTAGTACCCAAATGAGCCACAGAGATATTAGAAAGAATTTTTTCAGTGTCAGAGTAGTTAACAAATGGAATGTATTAAGCAGTGATGTGGTGGAGGCTGACTCCATACACAATTTCAAATGTAGATGTGATAGAGCCCAATAGGCTCAGGAACCTGTACACCTGTTGATTGACGGTTGAGTCGGGACCAAAGAACCAAAGCTCAACCCCTGCAAGCACAAATTAGGTGAGTACAACTAGGTGAATACAGCTGAGGGGCGGGACCAAACAGCTGAAGCTCAATTCCCTATGCATAACTAGGCGAGTCCATAGGAATTACCGTTTGTCCTGGCGCCATCTATGTTTTGACAGCAGTACTACTAATGTTCCCACGTTATGTGATGATCGCTATACGGCTGTTACGGTCAGTTGCTCTTCTATATAGGTTTATGGACAACGTAGGTGATTTGAGGCAATTTGCGGCCAGAGTGAAATAGTATCCACGCGGTGAGTGATGGAGGAGGATATATACTGCTGTGTACTCGACCAGCGGGTGAGAGGTAAGTTATATCGAACAATTATGGGGAATAGATGGGTTATTTTAAGCGTAGAATGTCAGGTAACCGGTAACTACACAGATGGGGTAGTGTTTTTTTAAGTCTTTATTTACTAAAGTGGAACATTACATTATGCCTTTAGCTGAACAAGTCTACTGGTGGGGGAAGTTGACGGGTTTTATGAAAGTATTTTACCTAAATTTGTATTTGGTTAACTAGTTCAGCAGTTACCAGGGAGGGTGTTCCTTTAATCTAATCTAAAAATTCTAGCCGGACAGTGATTAAGTAAAGAAATTGAATAGAACGAAGTGGTTTGCCAGGGTGCTTAACATTTAGTTTAGTTCACTTACTATGCAGCCCATGCTTAAAGAATGCAAGTTTATCATATTGAATTTACCGTAGTTTTACTGCATTTAATATACCGTTTTTACCCTATTTAATTATGTCGGGTAAAGGCCGGTCGTGGAAAGTTCCTAATATAGCAAGTTTTAAAGGAAAAGTTTGAGTTAACTTTAACGCTTAAGTTAGTGACCAATTAGCTTAGTCTGTTGCGAGGAAAGTTACTAGAATCTAACATTGCAAGTGCCATTTCTCTACTCTTTTTGAGAAACATGACTAGATACATGAATCGCATAGTTTTATTACTAAATGTTCATGGATTAGGTTGCATAGTTGAGGAAATGGTGATAAGGTTTGTGATTGTGTACCTTGACTTCAGCAGAGATTTTGATAGTGGCTCGGATCATTGGGAATGCTGACTGAAATTGATTAGGTCATGGCTATACCAAAGAAAATTAGTATAAATGGGGTAAAGTTGGGAGAAGTGTTGTAAGTAGTGCCTAAAAGCTCTCCTTGGACCTCTGTTATTCGCAAGATTATGGTTTAGAGTGCAATAGCTGCAGAATTGGCAAATAAAAAATACCGATGCCCTATATAGTTTTGAAATGGTTAAGACTACCAGATGCAGTTTAATGCTGACAAATGTAAGGTTTGGGGGCTAGGTAAAGATGAGATAGATGTTGTAGATTGTTAAGAGTATTAAATTTTTTGCAGGTGGTAAATTCTCCCCGAGCTGGCACTGCTCTCCAGCCTGGGATGTTGATTGGTTAGTCTTCAACTGCCTCTCAACATGGTAGTGAGGTCCTGAGCTGACATGCAGTGAGGAACGTGGAAAGCTTCCTGAATTGGCACATGATATGCCTCCCTTTCAAACCAGCAGCTGGCACAAATGTTCCATCTAACATCAGAATAGTGGATGAAGCCCACACTAAAATGTAAGTGGTACAGTAAACGGACACCCCCCCTCCCTTTTGCAACCCGTTCTCGCAAATTTAATAAGTCAATATTGACTTATTAGTTGCGTGCATAGGTGACATACTTAACATAAGTTTCCCTTGAAAAGCTTCATAGAAAACACCGACCTTACCTAACCTACTTAGTATGTTAAGATAAGCATCTTATTGCTTCGTAATTACAATTACCTATACCTATAATAGGTTAAGTAACAATTGTAATTACGAAGCTATAAGATGCTTATTTGTTGTTGGAAAATAAAATTTGTATAGGATGTTGACTTGAAATGACTAGCTTTGTTTGTAATTAAGATGGGACAACAAGATACTTGGTGTGCCATTTAAAACGGCAACTGTTAAACTGGTGGTACAGGTATGAACAAAATAACGTCGCTATGCAAATAACTTTTTAGTAATATTTACTGTTCACATGACAGGTTGTGGAAGGTCCTGGCAACAAAGAGCTGCAGGAAAATACTTGCAGATCTACAGTAAGTAGTGTTGTATACATTGGAATTAGAGGGTAGACGTTAATTGCTAAAAACCTATTAAATATTAGGGTATGGAAGTCTAGGCTTAGGCTAGTGGGTACCATATTTGCAAGTTTAGTCCTTTCAGGAATGTATTGAATAGAATGGTATGTTGAAATTGTGAAAATTGTAATGTGGGGCATTAGATCTTAAACAGCATAGTTGAGGGTGTTTTATTAATAATTTTAATGAAATAAATCTTGTTTAGTTAACATTAAATGTTTGTTAAATAAGCTTTAATCTATAAATGTATAACACTGTTAAGGGTAATCATGAGTCAAATAAAGTTAATGGCAGGAAAAGTTTTGTTCTAAGTGATTGTATTTTTCACTTGAAAGTAAAAAAAAATATTCAATGTTTACTTTGGCTTGGTTTTAAATTTAGTTTTCCAGAATGTGGTTTGGAAAGTCCAGAAGTCCTGCTGTCAGTTGGAATTGCTTAAATAGAATCAGGAGAGTTGTAGTAAAGGTTAATCTGAATAGATTTGCATAAAAGTAAAAAAATAGTAATGACTTAAACAATATAGCAATGGCTAAAGATAAATGTAAATTGCCATTGAAGTGCAGTTGTGGATAGTTTCTCAAATGACATTTACTGAAACTTGGCAAATTGATGCCATATATATTTATATTGCTAAATTAGATCTTTACTACTGCTACTAGAATGTAGGAAAGGTAAATTCCTTAAAGATTTTTTTTCCATCTGAATTTGTAAAGTAAAGCAAGATTGGCTTTAAATCTAAAAGTAATTTGATGAAATATTTTTCAGGTGAAAGTGATTATGATGCATGGACTGGCTTAGTGGGGCTCCTTTACTCTGCAAAAGGAAATCTACAAAAGTGGGTGAGTTTGAATTTGATGTTTTAGCTATATCAATGACCTAATCTTAATTCTCTTATCTAGTCCATTTATAGGTGTGTAACCATGTCCTACTGTTACAACCCACAGGGGATGATGCAGTTTGTACTGATCCTACCCCATTTCATAAAAGGGGACCAGGCAGTCCTGCATATTTCCCTGGCTTGGCTTTTTCAGAGCTTTGCTCTACTACCCATCTAATAGATGGACTAGATTTGCATAGGTTTAGGGACCCTTAACAATGGTTACATTGTTAATTCTCACAGGGCTTGTTTGCTGAATGGGTGGATGCATCTAAAACTTTAGTGCCTGGCATGCATTGTACAGTAAAGCATATGTACATTGTGTTGATGGCACTAAAGTGGTGGATGTAATGCACCCATTCAGGGAACAAGCTCTGCAATAAAACCGGAGTAAGGGGTAGGCCTTGCTGAGCCTATCTTGAAAGATAGGCTGTTAGGATTTTTTGGGCTTATTATTAGGCATTGGTGATAATAAAAGTAGTGTCCCTGTTTAATGTTTATTTTTCTTTTACAGGTGATTGTCTCTGGAGTTGTCTTGGCCTTTTGGATCTTCTGTTCTTCTAGGAGCATCTGTCTCACAACCTGAAACTAATAAATATTAGATGTATTATAAATACTCTATGTAAAACGTATTAAATAAAACAATTTTAATGAAACTACTTTATATACCTTATCCTGAAATTATGCTGGAAATTGTTTACTACTATTGATGCAATGTTTAAACATCTGAAATTTTTTACTTTGAAAATAAATACTTGGTAAAATTTACACCTATTTGTTACATAGGTGCATGCAAAATGCACTGAAAAGATGTAAAAGTGGACTACCTATTCAATTTACATAAACTAACAAATATTGCAAATTAGTCTGAAATATTAAAGTTGAAGAAACTTTAGTCAATATTTTAGTTTTCATATTTGAAAGTAAATTTAAAGCTATGCAACACCTAAGCTTTGTACAAATTATAATTAAATTAACTAAAGATCAATGTTAAATTTACAAAACATTAGAAAAGTGACACTGAAAACCATGTTGTATAGATGCTTCAAAGTCTCTGGTAACTTAAATTTAATCAAAGCTCTTAAATGATTTGTCTGCCAAACTTCAGATATTCTGAAATATTTTACCTAGATTAAAACCGTCATTGTTTGAAAGGGCAAAACAGATTACTGTCAATTAGTTTGACCTAACATCTGCAAGGTCCTGAAGGCATGGAATTTTTTTTTTTTTTGTAAAACTTTGTTTGCTAAAAACAAACCCTGCCTAATGAACCTGCTCACTTTTTTTTTAGAAATGGTAATTGCAACATTACCAAAGGCCATTGTTTTAATAGCCAAAGTACCAAATGAAAGACAAAGCAGCAACAAACAGGTACATGGTAGAAAGGACAAAAGAATGGTTACGAGGACCCTTTCATTTGTTAAAGAAATGACTGGGAAAAATGCTGTCATACCACAAGGGGTCTTAACCCTTGTCATATACATCACTGACATTAATCTAAATATTACCAACCACAAAAATTGCTGATAACATCTTATAAAAAAATAAAGAATATAATATTGAGGCCTTAATGCAGATCTCTAACTCTACAAATAGTAACAAGGCTGGCAATGTCTTAATATAAAACAAAAAAATCCAAGACCTTGCACGTGAGCCAGAACAATCCATATCACAACTACCACATTAAAATGAAACAACAATGAAGGTAATTACCAAAAGAAGGCACCAAAGTGCGAAATAATCAGAGGACGCTAAATATCACCAAGAATGCCAATACGAGAACAAAAATGCATAAGGCGAACGATATCAAAAGTATCCGATTCACCTAGAATTCTATCGAGGGACAAGTGACTGCGAGGGACGGTCGGAAAGCAAGACACACGCTCGTCCTGGAAGTCAGGACATTCAACAAGGATATGCACAACTGTAAGAGGGACAACGCAATTCGGACAATAAGGAGCAGGGCGGAGCTCCATTAAGTGACCGTGGGTTAAGCGGGTATGACCAACCCACAGCCGTGCCAAAGCAGTGTCCCACCGCCGGTTACGGTGGTAGGAGGAAAACCACGGGGACACACTAAGTTTGAGAGTACGCAGCTTGTTACCAACAACCCTGCCAACGGGGAAGAATGAATAACAGGATAAAAGTCGGAATAAGGAATACCAACGGGAGATGGGACAAGAACGGATAGCTTCCTTAGCGGCAGCATCCGCACGCTCATTGAAACACCAATATGGCTGGGAACCCAGCAAAACTCTACTGATTTAAATTTACTAGAAATAAGAAACAGCCAATGGTGAATCTCAATGACCACCGGATGGACAGGATTAAAGGACCCTAGAGCCATGAGGGCACTACGAGAATCAACTACAACCACAAAGGAGGAATGAGAATGAGAAAGCAAGAGACGAAGAGCATAGAGAATAGCATAAAGTTCTGCCGTAAAGACGCTAGCCTCCGAAGGGAGGCGACACATGTAAGTACGGTCAGGAAAAACAACAGAGTAGCCCACACCATCCGCAGACTTAGACCCATCAGGGAAGATGGAAATAGAGTGGGAGTGCGAAGAAGAGTGCTCAAGGAAGAGGCTTTTCAGAATTGTAGGAGGGGTAAAGGCTTTAGTAATACAAGTCAAGGACGTACAAAACTTGGGAAGGGGGACTCTCCACGGAGGTAATGAATGTTGACCTCTCTCCTCTCCTCTAGACAGGAGAGGAGAGAGGTACCAAATACATACAGTACATGAAAGATACTGGAAGGCCAAGTCCCAAATTTGCACAGTAAAATAACAACATACTGGAGTGACAGACTTGGAAGAAAATGCAAAAGAGAGCCAGTGAAGAGTAGAGGTGCCATAGGCACAACCAAAGAATACTGAACATCAGAAGTCCATGGTTATTAAACATTCTCCCAGCAAGTATAAGAAATATTGCCGGAACAAAAGTGGAAATCTTCAAGAAAAAACTGGACAGAGTTCTGCAAAGAAGTGCTGGACCAACCGGGCTGTAGTGAATGTGTGGGCCTGTGGGCCACTCCAAACAACAGCCTGTTACACCAAGTTACCACAGGTCAAGCCTGGGCCGGGCTTGGGGAGTACAAGAATTCCTAGAATCTCATCCAGGTATAAACCAGGGTTGGAGGAAAAGACTTAGGTAAAAGGAGACTTTATTTACCTGATTTACCAGAAGGCCATTATCTCTTTAGTGGTCTCAACGGGAAGAGGAAGCCGGTGACTTGTCGAAGACCCCCTCATTTGTCCTGATGATTCTGTCTAGCTGGAGTTTGATATTCAGCAGTGGTTTGGTAGTAGGCAGTTCCTTGGAATTATAACTATGGGTGAAAAGCATCTGTTTTCTGTCCTACACTGGCTTATTGAGCTTGAAACCATTGCTCCTTGTTTGTGTTATATCTGTCCTTCGAAAAAGCGGTCTAGATCATTATTCTTCAATTTGTTCAGCATATTAAATGTTTCAATGAGATCAGCCCTGTCATGTCAGGTTTGCATTGTTAGTCCTGTGGCCCTCAATCATTCCTGGAATGAAAGTCAAATTAGTTCAGGAATGATTTTAATGAGTGACGGATGGAGAGAGATTGAGGGATGGAGGAAAAGATTGTGAGTGATGAAGGGACAGAAAGACTGCAAGTGAGGGAGGGAGGGAAGGACTGCGAACCTGTCCCTCGGAGTTTTGAAAAGGACAAAGAGAGATTCATAATTAGATTAGTGCCAGAGCTATGAGAATTGGATGAAGGAACTAGACCTCACAACCTTGGAGGACAAGAAATATCAGACATGATAACATACAAGATACTAGGGGAATGGACAAGGACAGCTTCTAAGGCGAGAGAAAGTATTTCTAGAGGACACAAGTGGAAGATGGAAACACAAATGAGTTGAAGAAGTGTAAGGAAATACTCGTACTCAGTATGAGTGGTTAACAAGTGGAATGCACTGAGGGAACGTGTGTGAAGCCGTGTCCATCCATAGTGTATGATTTTTTTTTCAAAAGATTGGCTAATTCTACATGAACAAGAGAAGACAGCTTCAAGGGTACAAGTCATCTCTTAGAACTGACAAAAGAAAGAACTTCTCTCGAGAAAATCATGCAGAGCAAAAAGCCGTTGACGCAACATCACATTGTTCAGCTTTGTAAATCAACTGGAAAATTCAATGTCTGTAAAGCTCTCCCACGAGTCTCGTGTTTCCTTCCCAGTCCTTCCATTTTTACCCTTTCCCACACTTGTCCTTCCCATCAACCCCCCTTGCAATGCCTCCCCTTCTCATACCTGCCCTTCCTGTCAACCCTTCCAACATCTGCCCTTCCCGTCAGCCCCCTTGCTACACCTCCCCTTCCCACCCACCCCATTCCCACAATCTCCCACAAGGCCAGCAGACAATAACATACACATTCATGTCCCACTTTCTATTCCTCTTCATTTGATAACAAAGGGTTATTAAGTGGGATCAATGACAGTTTATACTTTTCTCCCGACATCTTAAACAATCTATGTCTCAACCCTTCATCGTTCAATATAACCAACATTATTCTTCACGACTGTGACCCCCACCCAGCATTGTACTGAACAGTATGGCGTAATTAGCTATTTCATGCAACTAGTGATTCAGTGTACCAAAGCCAAACGCTCTCTCTCCTTATATATAACATTAGGTCGATGAATATGAAATGTTCGTGTTGTAAAGTAGTTAATTATTAGGAATGTTATCTTTATCACAGACAGATAACTCTTTACATAAAACTAACTGTAGGTCACTACAGAAGAAGCTCGCTCCTCACATCAATGGAGGGCATTTATTCAGCAGCAATATCCACACAGTTGAACCTAGAATGGGTCGCTGTATAATATTAAGGAGCCAAAGGACTCCGTGCAATAATGCAGGTAGACTAACTAGATTTCTTCACTTCTCTAGGAGAAAGATAGATAAGAGACGAGATGGGCGAGAGGAGAGTTGTAGAGGTGTATGACGGGAAGATTGTGAGACGGAAGAGGAGAGGATAGGGAGGTCTTGGGTATAAAGTTGGAAAGACGGTGATAGAGATGGAGTGAGGGGACAGGGAAGAGTAACCTGGGCCAGGATTTATGAAGCATTTACACAACCACTAACGAAACCTGAACATCTTTCAACGATCATGGCAGTTTGTTTACTTTTATTAAACAATTTATGAGCCTGGAAACTTCGCAAAAGTTATTATTCTTATAAACAACCTCATAAAGCTTCGGAACTCAAACTGTTTAATAGATGTAAAAGCTGCTATGATTGTTGAAAGATGTACAGGTTTCGTAAGTGGTTGCATAAATTCCGGGTACTCTCCTTATATATAACTTTAAAAAAGAATACATGTTTGTTTAAGGCTGGAGGCCAGACACTTAGGGCTAGCCTCACCCAACTTTGCAGGGCGCGTAGGTCTGGAGTACGGGACGGACATAAGTTGGGTGGGATCGGTCCTATTGGTTATCTTAAGAGGGGGTCAGGTTAATTGTGATCCCCCAGCACCTGATCAGTGAAAGGTTGATGGCCGGGTCCTTAGATTTCTTCACTGGAAAATAATGAGCCATTTTTCTCAGACAGAGGTAAGGAGAAGCAGAAAAGGGGGACGTTTGAAGAGAGGGGAAGATAGGTGCATGGGGGAGAAAGGGTGGAGAGGAGTGAGATCTTGGGGGAGAAAGGGTGGAGAGGAGTGAGATCTTGGGGGAGAAAGGGTGCAGAGGAGTGAGATCTTGGGGGAGAAAGGGTGGAGAGGAGTGAGATCTTGGGGGAGAAAGGGTGGAGAGGAGTGAGATCTTGGGGGAGAAAGGGTGGAGAGGAGTGAGATCTTGGGGGAGAAAGGGTGCAGAGGAGTGAGATCTTGGGGGAGAAAGGGTGCAGAGGAGTGAGATCTTGGGGGAGAAAGGGTGCAGAGGAGTGAGATCTTGGGGGAGAAAGGGTGCAGAGGAGTGAGATCTTGGGGGAGAAAGTTAGAGAGGACAGGAGATGAGAAGAGAGGGGGGGGGGGACGACAGGGAAAGAGATGAGATTGGAAATGAGGGGTGAGACTGTAGCGAGTAAACCTATACTCGCTCCATTATCTCATCATCTTAATGGCATAACTAATTACACAAGCTATAATCCTATCCCTATTTACAGGTAACGGTTTTTCCACCCTCCTATCTTACTGTGAGGTGTAGTAACCGTATATAAGCCAGCGATTTGAGAATAGCAAACCAGTACAATCTCCAGTCAAGAATGTAGTACTCGGTGTAGGCAGTTCTAATCGACCCAAGACGCTACAGCTTCGACATAGAGCAGACAGCAGACTACGACCTCATCCGGCTACAACGCTCTCCCACATAGAGCTCCACGACTCCGGCCACACTCAGCTCTCTGCTCTGCTCCAGGCTTCGTCTCAACGTCTACGACACTGCTGTATCCAGGACTACTAAATAAATATGAAACTCACTAAACACTGTATCTAATCAACCCAACAACGTAACATAATCGTACGTTACAAGACCGTCACCGTGAGAAAGACCTGGGCGCAGCCGGCTACCCCCTCCTAGTATAGTCATACTGACTTTGTGATTTCTCCTGATAATTGCCTTACCTTACAACTTACACAGTTTACTCACAAGTTTCAAAAGATGCCATGTACCAGACGTCTCACCGGCAGCGCTGACGTCGTGCTTGGTTCAGGGGAGATGACGCAAACTACACATGTACGAAACACTCCGAGAAATACATTATACATGGCTTTAATAGTGAGCTTTCTAAGTTAGTGTCATCTGGTGGATATTTAACGGTTGGGGTGACGTAACGGGGTGGGGTAGAGGAGCATGGGTGTTTAGGTTGGGGGGTAGGGATGAGGAATGATTAATGAGTGCAAGCACCATTATGCTTTATCATTATTTTAGAAAAGTTATTAGTCACCAAGGATGTCCTTATTAAAGTGAAGGCGAGTACTGCCAGCAGTAACCAGTACACGCTCTGTGACAGTGTATTCTTAATATATTAACTGAGGGAGAAGCCAGGGAGACTACGAATTATACCTCTCACCCGAGGGACGCAGGTTCAATTCCCATCACATGGTTGGGCACGTGTCCTTTCACCTGCAGCCTCTTCACCTAGCAGTAAAATTTGGTCTCAGGAACTTGGGCAGTTATTATGGCTCGCATCCTAGGAATCGTAGTTGGCCTAGTGGGACCTCGACAAACCTAAAAAAATCTAGGCTAAATGTCCCTACCAATAGGAATAATTAAGTACATAAATTTACAAACACTGCAGTGATAATAACGAAGGAAATAAACAATAATAATATACAAAATAATAAAACAGAAAGCAAGAAGCAAGTTGGTAACAATACCGCATACGTCCCCTGAGGCTAACATTAACTGTAAATTTGCGAGGAGCTCAACATTATTGTGCACAACTGTCGGACGTTTCTCTCCCCAACACACACTGTCAAGAAGACAAATGGTGGCAACGATAATTATTGGTCAGTCATAAATTGATATATAGATAAAATAATTTTCATGTAAGCAATGATTATAAAATAATAAATAATTCACAGAGTAATAAAGGAAATCCAACCCATCCTCCAAAAATGATAATACTCGTTACTACTATTGGTCGAACGTATTAAAAATCGACTGTTGTACACAAAACCGTTCACGTTTTGTTCAATTGGAATACTGTAGTCAAAATGGCAAGCCAAAAAGTGGAACAAGAACTATACAACCTAGCCTATCCTACAGCTAAATATGAAACCTTAGGCCTGATACATAATAATAATATTTTATTTACAAGACGGTACAATGGGTTGGTGAGATTACATTAGTAATATTTTTACATTGCAAAGCCAGTAACATGCATAACGTTTTGGCCAGATACACGCTGTCTTAGCTATAATTTAGTACATGTGTAAGGTTGTACACATTTAGTTGTACATTTTTGGAATAGATTTATAATTTCATAAGAAACAAATTAGAAAAAAATATATATATTCAGGAAAACTTGGCTTATTAGGCAAATCGCGTCTTTCATAGTAGGCCGAGTACTGCGTTCTGGCTACATACACACACACATACATACAAGAGTTCTTACATTCTTGTACATATCTATAGTCTATATTTATATCTATATAATATATTTATATAATCCATTTCCCTCTCACATAGTACATATTGCAAAAAAAATTGCTCATTGCACATTGAGGTTGATTTATATGGGCTATGCAACTTACTAGTGTAAACGAGACCAGAGTTACCTGTCATTGTCACAACAACTTCTAAGGACAGTTGACTATGGTGGAGGTAATTCCTCTTCTCACTAAATAGTGAACAACCATCTCCAGTGAATGAAGGGGCCGACATTTAGTGGAGCTGGTCTTGTTATGGCGAAGATCAGCGCAGAACAGCGATTAGCACAAGTAGAAGGTCTTCTTCTACCATATAACAATGAGTACGATGATCTGACAATGTGCTCACATCGTTTGGAATGTCTGGCGTGACTTATTGCCGTACATGGCAAATAGTCCACGT